TTTCCCAGGCCACAGGCAGGGAGCTGGAAGGGAAGCGGGGCTGCCGGGATTAGAACCGGCGCCCATATGGGATCCCGGGCGTGCAAGGCGAGGACCTTTAACCACTTGCGCCACCGCGCCGGGCCCGGTCCTCATGATTTTTTTTATTTTCTAGATTTATTTTGACTTTTATTTGAAAGGTGCATTTTGGAGCTAGAGAGAGAGACAGAGCTTCCATTTGCTGGTTCATTCAAATGAATCTATTCTTGGTCCCTCGTATAGTGCAGGATCCCAAGAACTTGAACTACTCTCCATTGCTTTCCCAGGATATAAGCAGCGAGCTAGATGGGAAGTGGAGCAGCTGGGAGGTGAACCGGTACCTGTATGAGATGCCAGTGCTGCAGGCAGAGGATTAGCTTGCTGTGTCACCATGTTGGCTCTGGCCCTCATGATTTCTTTTTCTTTTCTTTTTTCTTCCCTTTTTTTTTCTTTTTTTTCTTAAGATTTAGTTACTTTTATTGGAAAGTTAGACAAACAGAGAGGAGGAGAAACAAAAAGATCTTCTGTCCAATGATTCACTCCCCAAGTGGCTGCAATGGCTGGAACTGAGCTGATCTGAAGCCAGAAGCCAGGAGTTTCTTCCCGGTCTCCCATGTGGGTGCAGTGTTCCATGGCTTTGGGCCGTCCTCAGCTGCTTTCCCAGGCCACAAGCAGGGAGCTGGATGGGAAGCCAGACTGCTGGGATACAAACCTGGCAGCCATATGCAATCCTAGTGCATGCAAGGCGAGGAGTTTAGCTGCTAGGCTGCTGCACCAGGCCTGAGTGACACCTTTTATGGCTGGGTGACAGGTACACTTGGGTTTCTGTTATTCTCTCTCCTTTTGTGTATGTTAGATTTAGTACATCCATCATATAAATGCTCCTTTAAAGTAATAAAAGTGAAATAACTTGATTAAGGTACATTTTTTAAAATGAATTTGGAGTGATTAGGAATAGTTAGATTTATGTAGGAGTATAGGAATTGCTATTTAAAAATTTTTCTTAGGATAAGATTAAAAAGTATCAACACTGTTAGCTTGTAAAATGTTCTTACAGTAGTGTAAGGCAGTGACTGGTATTGTGGCACTGCAGGTTAAACTGCGGCTTGGGATGCCAAGTGCATACAAAGTCCTAACTACTCTTATACTGCTTCCTGCTGATGGTAGCAGTATATGACCTGAGCACTCGTGTGGGCGGGGTTGCTGGCTCCTGACTTTGGCCCAGCCTGGTGCTTGTAGCTATTTGGGAGTGAAGATCTCTGGCTCTCCCTCTCTGTCCCTCTGCCTTACGAATATTAACATGAGAACAGAATAGTGGACGGAGGGCACAAGTGAGCTCATTGACTAGAAAGATTAAACAACCAGGTGATGCTGTCTGCATTCGTGTGTCTGCCTCCTCCTGCTTCCTTCCTGTTTATCTTTTTCATCCTGCATGTCCTTACGTTATAGCTGTATTTATGCCCATCTCTACTATATATTTTCTAGCAAGTTCTGTAGAGTTTAGTTTTATGGATTTCTTTATTTGAAAGGCAGAGTTACTGTGAGAGGGAGAGAGAGGAGTTCTATGGGGTGATTTGCTCCCTACATGGCCTAGACTAACAGAACTGGGTCAAATTGAAGCAGAAGCGGGGGCCTCCCTCCAGGTCTTCCATGTAGGTGGCAGAGAAGCCCAAGCTTTTGGGCCATTCTCCATTGCTTTCCCAGGCCATTAACAGGGAGTTGGATCGGAAGTGGGGTAGCTAAGATACAGACCAGTGCCAAGGGTCCGGTGCAGTAGTCTAGAGGGTACTGCCTCACCTTGTATTCACCAGGATCCCATGTGGCTGCCTGTTTGTGCCCCACCTCCTCCACTTCCCATCCACTTCCCTGCTTAAGGCCTGGGAAAGCAGTTGTGGACAGCCCAAAGTCTTGGGACCTAGTATCTGCGTGGGAGACGCGGAAGAAGCTCCTGACTCCTGGCTTTGGCTCAGCTCGACTCAGCTCCAGCTGTTGTGGCCACTTGGGGAGTGAAACAGCAGATGGGAAATCTTTCTGTCTGTGTTTCCTTGTCTTTGTATATCTGCCTTTCATTTTAAAAAGTTAGTTTTTTAAAGATTGATTTATTTGTTTTTAATTGCAAAGTCAGATATACAGAGAAGAGACTCTTCCGTCCGATGATTCATTTCCCAAGTGACCACAACGGCCGGTCTGCACCGATCCAAAGCCAGGAGCCCAGATCCTCTCCTGGGTCTCCTACACGGGTGCAGGGTCCCAAGGCTTTCGGCCATCCAGCTCCCTGCTTTCCCAGGCCATAAACAGGGAGCTGGATGGGAAGCAGGGCTGCCAGGATTAGAACCAGTGCCCATATGGGATCCCGGTGCATTCAAGGCAAGGACTTAACCACTAGGCCACCGCGCCTGGCCCAAAAAGTTAATCTTAATCTTTAAAACAAAAAAAGACAGTGCCAAATGGGATGCTGGTGTCACAGACGATGACTTAGCCTGCTCTGCCACAATGTTAGCTGCAGAGTTCAGTTTTTAACATTAAAGCATTTCAGAATGAAGCTTGGAATCCTGCACCCATGTGGCATATGACTTTGGTCTTTCAGATATGTGCATTAATTCTTTTAAAAATTCAGAACTCTTCAGTGAAAAAAATTTTTTTTAAAGATGCATTTATTTTATTGGAAAGGCAGACGTACAGAGAGGAGGAGAGACAGAGAGGAAGATCTTCTGTCCGATGATTCACTCCCCAAGTGAGCGCAATGGCTGCACCAATCCGAAGCCAGCAGCCAGGAACTTCTCTCCAGGTCTCCCACGTGGTGCAGGGTCTTAAAGCTTTGGGCTGTCCTCCACTGCTTTCCCAGGCCACAAGCAGGGAGCTGGATGGGAAGTGGGGATGCTGGGATTAGAACCAGTGCCCATATGGGATCTTGGTGCGTTCAAGGCGAGAACCCTAACCATTACGCTATTGTGCCAGGCCCCAGAGAAATTTTTATTTTAAAATGTTGGAAGCGAAAAGACCTGTCTCCTCAAAGGACAGGTTTAAAAAGGGGAGTGTCTAATAAATGCTGTGTGAGTATGGTTTTTTTTAGGAACTTAAGAGATCAGAAGTGGAACTGTTCTTAATTGATTTATCTTCCTAAATAGTTGAGAGCAACTCCGCAACTGAAGAGTGCTCCAGTTGGGCTTCCTGGGGATTGTGTGCTGAAGCCTGTACGAGGTGTTGCCCCAGGGTACCACAGCTACTCTTGATTCTGCTTCTGTTTATTTCCACTTATACTCCAGGGAGGACAGTCTCCAGAGAAAAGCATAGAATAGTAAACATGTTTAATGTTTCCCTGGAACTCTGCTTTCCTGCCCGCTGTCGAAAGGCGCGTGGAACGTGAGTCAGGCGCAACTGCTTTTCCATAAAGCATCTGTGAACGTTGTTTTGTTTTGTTTTAATTATTTCTTTATTTGTTTGAGGGTGTCTTTATCCCAAATATTTCAAACATTTTAAGGCTTGTTCAGCATTGTTTTTATTTTTATTTTTTCTTTTGTTTTTTAAAGATTTATTTATTTTTATTGAAAACACAGATTTATAGAGAGGCGGAGAGACAGAAAGATCTTCTGCTGTTGTTGCAAAGTCAGAAATACAGAGAGGAGGAGACAGAGAAGAAGATCTTCCGTCCGATGATACACTCCCCAAGTGAGCGCAATGGCTGGTGCTGTGCCAATCTGAAGTCAGGAGCCAGGAGCTTCCTCCAGGTCTCACAAGCAGGTGCAGGGTCCCAACGCTTTAGGCCATCCTTGATTGTATTCCCAGGCCAAAAGCAGGGAGTTGAATGGGAAGTGGAGCTACCAGGATTAGAACCAGCGCCCATATGGTATCCCGGTGTATTAAAGGTGAGGACTTTAGCCGCTAGGCCACGCTGCCGGGTCCGGAATGATCTTCTGTCCATTAGTTCACTCCCCAAGCACTGGGCCTCCATGGAAACATTTAAAAAATAATTGCTATGGCCTGGTGCAAAAGCCTAGTAGTTAAATCCTTGCAATCCTTGCCATGCATCTGCCAGGAGCCCATACGGGGGCCAGTTCATGTTTGAGCTGCTCCACTTCCCATCCAGCTCCATGCTTGTAGCTTAGGAAAGTATTAGAGGACGGCCTAAAGCCTTGGAATCCTGCACCTGTGTGGGAGACCCAGAGGAAGCTCCTGATGAACCTGGCGATGGAAGACCTGTGTCTCTTTCTATCCTGTGGAACTCTGCCTTACCAATAAAAATAAATTTTTGAAAAAAATCTTTGTCAGACTCTGTGTTAGCTTTTAGATTTTTAAAATTTATTTTTTAAGATTTATTTGTTTGTGGGCTCGGCACTGTGGCCTAGCAGCTCAACTCCTTGCCTTCCCACATGCCTGGATCCCATATGAGCACCGGTTCTAATCCTGGCAGCCCCGCTTCCCATCCAGCTCGCTCCCTGCTTGTGGCCTGGGAAAGCTGTTGGAGACGGCCCAAAGCCTTGGGACCCTGCACCCACGCTGGAGACGTGGAAGAGGCTCCTGGTTTCAGATCAGTGCAGCCATTGTGGCCACTTGGGGAATGAGTCAATGGACGGAAGATCTTCCTTTCTCTCTCTCTCTCTCTCCTCCTCTCTGTATATCTGACTTTGCAATAAAAATAAATAAATCCTTAAAAAGGAAAGAATGGGCAGAGAATCAGATTTACACGAAGAGACAATGAACTTGCCACTGGTTCATTATCAGATGATCCCACAGCAGGGCTTTGTCTGGCCGACTCCAGGAGCAGGAACTTCATGTGGCTCTCCCTTGGGGGTGCTGGGTTCCAAGGACTTGAGCCATTATCCACTGCATAGTCAGGCAGGTTAACAAGGAACTGGATTGGAAACAGCAGCTGGGACTTCCCAGTGGTGCTCATATGGGATGCCGGTATCATAGAAAGAAAGTTAATCTGCTGTACCCTGCATTTTAATTATTTAAAAATGTTAATTTAGTTTCTGAAAAATCAAGGTACAACAGAAAAGCTGAGTAATTACATATCTAAAATGCATTTTTGTTGTATGTAGGTTAAATGCAGTGTATCTGTTCTTGCAAGTCCTTTTGATCTGCTTGGTAATCCAGCAGTTTGGGAGGACTTGGGTTCTGGGTAGTGGGTCCGTGTGGAGGTGTTTGAAGAAAAACCCTTGCTCTGAGTGAGATTGTATTCACAATTATTTCAAAAGACTGAAATTTTTACACTTGGATTTTAAATACGACGGGAGACAAAGAAATGGAGCGGCAACTGTATGAATATAGGATGAAGCAAGAGATAAAGGAGTTCAGGCGTCCTCCTTGAAACATGCAGTGGTGTGGCTTGTATGTAGAAATCTTAGGATGCCTCTGATTTCTAAATATTTTCTTCGCAGTCACATTACATTTGGAGAAGTACATTAAACTGAGCATCCCAGTGATGTGGGACAAACCAGCATTGGTTTGAGAGCAGGAAAGGTAAAAGTGGATATGAACCGTGTCATCTAAGGAATGTTGGAAAGTGAATGTAGAGACAGGGTTGGCGTAACAGTCACTGCTGTGGGTGTCCAGATGCTAGCTAGTAGGTGCCTGATTGGCTGTTGCATTTTTGGTCCAATTTGTTGCTGTTTAGCTGTAGATGGTGGCTCAAGTGTTTGGTCTCCTCAGAGACTTGGTCTGACCTCTGGTTTCAGCCTGGCTGCTTGTTGTAGGAAGATTGAAGATCTGCCTCATTTCTCTTTCCCCCCCTCCCTCTTTCCCTCTCAAATAAAATGAAAGTAAGTAAAACTAAAAGAGGCTAAAGATGTTGGTATTATATACCTTCTAGGTCCCTTAGAGTTTTCAAAGTAGATCCTGTATAATTTTGCATCCTTGTCTGCCAAACAGGTGGATAGGAAGTGTTCATTGGCACTTGTTTGGGCAGTCATCTTTCTGTACTGCTGCTGTGGAACATTCCCGCATTGGTTGGAGAAAAGTGTTTGAGGGGGCATATTTTTATATGAGGCACTTTGTGTGTTTCTCTCTTTTACTTTATTACATTTTTTCCATTTTTTTTCATTTATTTTTAATAGTTTAAATTCTTGAGGGGTACAGCATCACTTTATAGTAGAATGATCCTGGAAAAAGTTAATTGTTAATGCCTATGGTCAGATATGCCATATATTCAAACACCAGGATGTAATGCCTAGGTTTTCTTCTTCCAGAACTGGGAAACTGGGCTCCTGTCCTCTGAGAGTGTTGTTCCCAAACTAGTCAGCTTGAGAAAAGACTGGTAGCTCCGTTCTTTCTTGTCCATTTTTCACAGCGTGTCACCAGTTAGATGTCAGCCATTTGCTGCTGTGATTTGGTCTGTTTGGAATTTGTAGTTCTTAGAAGCTCCTTTTGCTCAAAGAACAAAGAGCACTCCGTAAATTACAGTTAGTTGTTCCATCTGTTTTGTTTTGTTTTTTTTTTTTTTTTTTGAATACTTTGATTGTCTGGAGGGGTTTGAATGTGTGTCAGGACTCACTCGTGTTTGCATGTATTTCCTAGGTGTAACTGAAAAAAATCACCTTTTCAAAGATGTCAAAAACAAACAAGTCCAAGTCTGGATCTCGCTCTTCTCGATCAAGATCCGCATCAAGATCTCGTTCTCGGTCGTTTTCGAAGTCTCGATCCCGAAGCAGATCGATCTCTCGGTCGAGGAAGCGCAGGCTGAGGTAAGGGGACCTGGTTTGTAAACTGGCAGAACTGTTGCTTCAGGCAGGATGGTGGTGGCAGTGTTAGACTTATTTATTTTTATTGTAAAGGCATATTCACAGAGAAGATAAGGAACAGAAAGATGTTCCATCCACTAGTTTATTCCCCAGGTGTGAGTTTTGAATGTCTTTGTTCAGATTGTTTCTTGAAGGGTCAATTGGGTCAGGTTGGCCTTGGAGACGTTCCTGGTCTATTGAGACACTCCAGTTCAGGTCAGCTTGATTTGCGTGCTGCTTCCCTAATTCCACTTCTCTGTCAGCACATGCTGTTTCCTATCCACTTGAAAGAAAAAGTATCTGAGTTTTATTTGAGCTGTTTGATTCATTTCTCTAAACCTGATATTTTTGACTTAAGTGTGTGTGTGTGTGTGTGTGTGTGTGTTTTCCCAAGGCTGGAACCAGTTTATTTGCTTCATCAGCAAAGAAAGGATAGGTGAAGGCTGAATAATACAAATAATGTTTTAAGAAAGGGAAGCCTTCATTCACTGAAATAATCGTTGAAAAGCTTACCAGGATTTATTTGTGTAAACCCAGTGTGCCAGTTACTAACAGACTGTGTCTTACTTGGTAAAGCACACCTTAAAGCTGTGTGCATATTGGTGGTGAAAGCATCACTTGGTTTTATGACTCTTACGTGAGATGTCCTTTTCTTTTTCTTTTTATTAATCCTTTTTGAAAGAAAGAACAACAGAAGGGGAATGTGAGCAGAGCAAGGGTGAGAGGGCAAGAGGCAGCACGCTGTCTCCAGCTGCTGACTGACTCCCAAAATGGCTGCAGCAGCCAGGTCAGCGAATGGGACCTCCATCCTGCTCTGCCACCTGGGTGGCAAGGGGCTAGGTCTTTGGCCAGTCACTTTGGCAGAAGCGGGTAAGAAGCCAAGCAGCCAGCACTGGAATTGGCATTATGGGTTGTCAGTATCTTAAGGGGCAGCTTATTCCACTGTGCCTCAATGCTAGCCCCTAGCCCTACCAGGTTGGTTTTTTTGTTGTTTTGTTTTTGTTTTTCCCATAATTTCTACAAAGAAAACAAAATTTCTTTTCAAATGTGCAGTTTTAAGAGCATGATGATACTTCCTAGTTTGGCTTCTTCCCACCCTATCAGTGTTTTATGATTCAGTCTTCATACCATTAGGTAATTTCCCTTGTTCAGGAATCTCTTGATTTGTTGCAAATCAGGTTGGGTTTTTTATTTGTTTGTTTTTAAGGATTTATTTTACTTGGAAAATCAGTTACAGAGAGAAAGCTTCCATCTGTTGCTTCACTCTCCAAATGGCTGCAGTGGCTAGAGCTGGATCAGTCCTAAGCCAGGAGCCTCTTGCGGGTCTCCCTCACGGATGCAGGGTCCCAAGGCTTGGGGTCTTCCTCCACTCCTTTCCCAGGCCACAGGCAGGGAGCTGGATCAGGAAGGAAGGGAACAGTCAGGACACAAACTGGCGTCAGTGTGGGATGCCAGCTCTGGCAGGCAGAGGATTAGGTGTTAGGCTACCGCATTGGTCCCTGTTTGTTTTTCTTTAAAGTCACTTTACTTGTGTGTGTGTGTGGATAAGAACTTTGGAATACCTGCTGTTTATTCCAGATGAGGCTCCAAAATCCTGTTTTTGGTTTGGTTTGGTTTGTTTTTTTCCCCTTTTTTTTTAAAAAAAGTTGATTGTTATTGTTATATGAGCAGCAAACCTGAAGAAAAAGCTGCAAGTTCTGCTCTTAGCTCAGTTGTACTTCTAAAGACTTAAATGATTGGGGGCATTGTTTCTCACCGACAGCAACTTTATTTTAAAAAGAAATCTATGAAAATTCAACCTAAAAGTTAATTTTAGACCAGAGATTAAACAAAAAGAAGGTATGTATAAATGTTGATGGGGAAAACTACTTCACTAAGTAATTTACCTTCAGAAATAGCCATCTAGACCATGGGAATGATCAGGGACGTAGCAACTCCTGCCTTGTACCCATAGTCATCTGATTTAAGTGGTTTAAACCTGTTTTGGATGATTTAATTCTGAAAAGTGCTCCCCCCTTTTTTTCCTTTTTTCATATTTTAAGATTTATTTTATTACAAAGTCAGATATACAGAGGGGAGGAGAGACAGTGAGGAAGATCTTCTATCCGATGATTCACTCCCCAAGTGAGTGTAACAGCTAGTGTTGTGCCGATCCGGAGCCAGGAGCTTCCTCCTGGTCTCCCATGAGGGTGCAGGGTCCCAAGGCTTTGGGCCGTCCTTGATTGCTTTTCCAGGCCATAAGCAGGGAGCTGGATGGGAAGTAGAGCAGCTGGGATTAGAACCGGCACCCATATGTGATGCATAGCCATTAGGCCATGCCTCCGGGTCCTGAAGTGCTTTTCAAAATAAAATACACTGTGTGGGAATTAATTGGTTCAAAAGCAAGAGGCTGCATAACCACAACTGAGGGAGTCCATTGGCATTCCTTGTGTCCCAAGGCCGGTCACAGCCAGTGAATGGCACCTGCTGTCCAGCAGGTTGTCACTTGGGAGGACTTTATCCCCTAGAAAACAGGGTTCTGTGCTGAGGCTAATCTGACTTTGGAAACAGCTGTTTGCAAAACAGCCACCAGATGTTCACTTTTGTTTCTAGTCTGCTCAGGACTTTTCTTTTTCCCCTCTCCTATAAGGGAAATGATCTAGCCAGTCGTTTTGAGAAACAATGCCTTTAAATTAACTAATTATAACTACTGAGTTCTACAGAATGGGAGAATATTATTTCCTTGTATTTCAGACTTTCCTTGTAAGTGACTTAAACATTTCACTAACAAAGAAAGATTAAGAACAAGGGGGGGGGCGGTGGGAGAAGAATAATTGCATTTACAGTATGTAGTTACTCCTGCCTCTGTGCAGGGGCTGTGCGTCTTGGCAGTATGCCATGCGGGCTGTTCTGATAGTGGCTAGGAGAAGCACCAGGCGCCTCTGGGGGTGGGGGTATGACTTGAACCCTCCGTAGTGGGTCATTTCCACCAGGCATAGCCATTTATGTGGGTCATACTTGGTTTCATAGCCTCTCTTCACCTGCAGTGCTGTTTTTGAATGGTAAGTGTGGCAAGTAAGTTTTCTTAAATTGTATTTACATAAGTTTTAAAAAATATTTATTTATTTTTATTGGAAAGTCAGAGAGAAAGAGAGACAGGAAAATTTTCCGTCCAATGATTCGCTCCCCAAGTGACCTCAATGGCTGGAGCTGAGCCAATCTGAAGCCAGGAGCCAGGAACCTTCCTCCAGGTTTCCCACATGGGTGCAGGGTCCCAAGGTTTTGAGCCATCCTCAAATGCTTTCCCAGGCCACAAGCAGGGAGCTGGGTGGGAAGTGGAGCTGCCAGGATTAGAACCGGTGCCCATATGGGATCTCGGCATGTGCAAGGGGAGGACTTTACTATGCTGTTGTGCTGAGCTCTACATTGCAGTTTTTAGCTTGTATTTTTGCTAGCTGTTTTAGTTCTGGGGTAGTTAGAAAAAGGCAGTATTTTACACTAAACCGAATGTAAGTTTCTTTTTAAAAAAACATAAAAGCACACACATACAAAAACAAAAGCTAAAAAAACCCTGCTCTCTTTGGTTATTAAATCCTGAGGGGAAAAAAGTTGACATGTTTACTAAACATAGTAGTGATCATGAGGAGTATGACCTTAACAGCAAATCAGGCTGAACCCCATTGGATGAATGGTTTTTTTGTTTTGCTACTCATATGTACTTGTGGTTGTTCATTTTATAAACTAGGCATGCTTAACGAGTGTAACGATGAGGACAATATACTGTAATGAAAGTTACTTAAAAATAAGCAGTTGGGACCGGCATTGTAGTGTAGCTGGTAAAGCCTCTGCCTGCGACAGCTGCATCCCTTATAGGCCCCAGTTCATGTTCTGGCTTCTTCCTTTGTGATCCCGCTCCCTGCTAACGGCCTGGGAAAGCAGAAGCAGATGGCCCAAACAGCCATCCACATGGCAAACCTGGATATGAAGCTCTTGGCTTTTGCTTGGCTTAGATGTGGCCTTTGCAGCCCATTGGGAATTGAATCAAAAGATGGAACGTCTTTCTCTTGGTCTTTCCCTTTTTGAAATGCTGAATTTCAAATAATAAATCCCAAACACTGAAAGAGTTTTTGTTTCAGCAATTTTATCATTTGATATTTTCAATGCCAGTCAGTGTTGTAACATAATGGGTCAACCTGTGAACCTGACAGTCCAAGTGTCAGTTTGGATTCCAGCTACTCCTAATCCAGCTCCCTACTAATGTGCCAGGGAAAGCAGTGGAGGGTGGCTCGAGTGCTCGGGGCCCTGCATCCACATGGGAGCCCCAGAAGAGATTGCTAGCTTCAAACTGGTCCACTTCCAGCTGTTGTGGCCATTTGGAGAATGAGCCAATGATGAAAAGATTCTCTTCTAACTCAGCCTTTCAAATAAATTCATCATTAAGTAAGCTTTAATGTATGTATGTTGTTGTTTCAAGAGGAGAGAGTGGGAAAGAACATGTACTTCATCCTCTGATTTACCGCCTGAACACCTACAATAACTGGAATGAGATAAGGGTGAATTTGGAACAAACTCGGGTGGTGGAGACCCAGTCACTAGAGCTATGACTGAGTTGCTGCCTCTCAGGGTCTACATCAGCGGGAGAATGAGTCAGGAGCGTGGCCAGATGTCAAACCCAGGCAGTCCAGTGTGGGCTGGAGCTTAGCAGACGCTAGGCCAAGCAGCCACCTCGCAGTGTTTTTGACCGTTGTTACCTACAGTTAACAGAAACTTCAGAAAGCAAAATACTGGTTAAGGAGGACTGCTGTTTTTACCAGCAGACAAAAAGTACATTTGCTTCTCCCAGTTGGGCATAGTAGACCTACTAATTTTTTGAAAATAAATAAGTTTTTATTCTGTATGAAAAAATTGTTTTGGGGAAGTTTTCTTGTAAATTTTATATAAGTTTAGCTTAGTGTTTAGGTATAATGGTTATAGCCTAGATGATGGGACAGGCAATATCTAGGCAGGCTAGATTTTGATGTAGGGTTTGACTTGTTTGCAGAAGTCAAGTAGTGTTGGCATGCAGTTTTTACGGTTAGGTCACTGTAGAATTCCCATTCTGGAAAGTTGCTACATTGTAGTTGTTTGTAGCTTGTTCAGTGAAGGACAGCACAACACTCACTAGTTTTTAGATTAGAAAGCCTTTGACTTGGAAGATGTTTGTCTTTGCTTAGTTTTATGAACTTGGTACCTTGCAGTGAGATAGTGCCCTCTTGTGGCACCTTGCGAAGATCATGGAACTGGAGCATAAACACTTAACTTTGAAGATAGACTGTTTCCAGGTCCCTTATTTAAAAAAAAAAAAATTTGGTATTTGCTTGACTTGCTGATCTGATTTTTTTATCTTATTCTTTGAGTGTTCTTTGATGTAAATCTGTTGGAGCTGTACTTTTATAACTCTACATTTTAATGAGATCTATAAATTCAGCCTGCACAGAGAGTGACTGGGATAGGATATGGACTGTTCCAAGTCTAAAGACCAGAGAACCTCCCTGAACTCATAGCAGTTGTTATGTCAACATGATCTGTGCTTCCTTTACTCCACTAAAACTTTGGTCTTCTTTGAGTCACTGAGTCTTGTGTATGCATCTGTACTTGATGAATATGGGTTCTAAGTAGTAGGATTAAATATTAAGTCTATCCTTGGTTTGAAAACAAAACTGAAAATGAATGACATATACGAGTAGGACAATTCATGCGTGGGACCTGGTGCAATAGCTAGTGGCTAAATCCTTGCCTTGCATACATTGGAATGCCATACGGGCACTGGTTCATGTCCTGGCTACTCTGCTTCCCATCCACCTCCCTGCTTGTGGTGTGAGAAAGCAGTTGAGGATGGCCCAGAGCATTAGGACCCTGCACCTGCGTGGGAGCCCCAGAAGAAGCTTCTGGCTCTGGCTTCTAACCAGCTGAGTTCCGGCTGTTGTGGCCTTGGGAAGTGGACCAGCGGACAGAGATCGGTCTTCTCTGTGAATCTGACTTTCCAGTAAAAATAAATAAATTTTAAAAACAATAAAGAAGTGAATGAAAAAATTGCTAAAACCAAAAACAAACAAACAAAAACCCAATTATAACAACACCAAACCAAACAAAAAGCAATTTGTGAGTGAATGTTTGACCTAGTTGATACAGCACTGCTGGGATGCCTGCATCTCTCATTGGCTTGTTTGGTTTTGCCTTTGGACTTTTGTTCTCAGTTTGATTTTTTTTCCCCCCGATAAAAGCACACACCCTGAGAGAGAATAGATAGTGACTAGTTGACTTCATGCTACCTGGGAGACACAAAGATCCGAGCTCCTGGCTTTGTCCTGGTCTGGCTCCAACTATTACAGAAGCATCATATGAAAGTACATTTCTTCTTGGTCTTTCAAATAAAGAAAGAAAATTTTTAATTCAGTTGTTTTTCCTTTTCAGTTCTAGGTCTCGTTCCAGATCCTATTCTCCAGCTCATAACAGAGAGAGAAACCACCCTAGAGTATATCAGAACCGGGATTTCCGAGGTCACAACAGGGGCTATAGGAGGCCCTATTATTTCCGTGGGCGCAACAGAGGCTTTTATCCGTGGGGCCAGTATAACCGAGGAGGCTATGGAAACTATCGCTCAAATTGGCAGAATTATCGGCAAGCATACAGCCCTCGTCGGGGCCGTTCCCGATCTCGGTCCCCAAAGAGAAGGTCCCCTTCGCCAAGGTCCAGGAGTCATTCTAGGAACTCCGATAAGTCATCTTCTGACAGGTCAAGACGCTCCTCATCTTCACGTTCTTCCTCCAACCATAGCCGCGTCGAATCTAAGCGCAAGTCTACAAAGGAGAAAAAGTCCTCTTCCAAGGATAGCCGGCCTTCTCAGGCTGCTGGGGATAACCAGGGAGATGAGGCCAAGGAGCAGGCGTTCTCTGGAGGCACCTCTCAAGATACAAAGACATCTGAGAGCTCAAAGCCATGGCCAGATGCCACCACCTACGGCACTGGTTCTACGTCACGTGCCTCTGCGGTTTCTGAGCTGAGCCCTCGGGAGCGAAGCCCAGCTCTGAAAAGTCCCCTCCAGTCTGTGGTGGTGAGGCGGCGGTCACCCCGTCCCAGCCCTGTGCCAAAACCTAGTCCTCCACTTTCCAACACATCCCAAATGGGCTCAGCTCAGCCAAGTAGTGCTGGGTATCAGTCTGGAACACACCAAGGTCAGTTCGAACATGGCTCTGGATCTTTGAGTCCATCCAAAAAGAGCCCTGTGGGTAAGAGTCCACCGTCCACTGGCTCTACATATGGCTCATCTCAGAAGGAGGAGAGCACTGCTCCCGGAGGAGCAGCCTATACCAAGAGGCAAGTATTTTGTTTCCCCTGTTTTGTGTTTTATCTCACCGGTTGACAGTTTAATTGTAATGGGATCTAAGTTAGTGCTCTGATTAATGGTAATAAGGTAATCTCCATATCCTAAACTTTTCATTAGCAAACATTAAAAACATCACCCAAGGAAACCTTTAGCTTAACTCTAGCTTTCCTACCTTCCTGAATTTGTATTGCAGCATAAAGTGTCTTAGACTCCTGCAATGATGTTTTCACATTTAAAATTTGCCTTGGATTCTACCAATGTAAGCCAGAGAACAGTAGAGATTTGTGGGTCAGCTGTCAAAAAAATATGATCTTTGCCAAAATGAGTGGCCATTGGAGCTGTTAGAGCCTCTAGGACCCACCACCTACTGTGCATGACCTGCATCCGCCCATCGTGGTGAAGCGCTGCACCCTCACAACCTCCGGTTGAGACTGGGCAGAATGGGAAAGTCCAAGGCTTAGTCCAGGAAGGCCTGTCTTAAAACCCTGAGGTGGGTGTGTGTCCTGGTAGAAGCCAACCAGGCACCGTGTTAGGAGAGGACATGGCAGTGCTTTCATCCTTCTCCCCTGGGGACACGGTGAGTTGGAATGTGAATCTTGTTTCTGTGGTTGGTTGGATGGATTGGGATGGCAGAGAGGGTAAGGGAAGTTGCATTTGGGACCAGCTAGATGGCAAGTGGTTTACCTAGTAAGTGATTGCCGTTTTTCTTTTATTAGGATATTTTATGTCCCATAATTTCTTGATGCTTTGCCCAATCAATATACCTGTTAAGGTGATTAAGCTTTCTCCATTAGTGGTACAGAAGAGAGATTCAGAATCTGTGCTCTGCTGCCCTTAGCACGCCTGCTTGGCTGGGATGTGAATCCCTTTTTAGGAGACTAGCTCGTGAGCTCCACTTTTCCCTGAGGAGGAAGAGATTGGTTTTTACTGTCACCACCCCTCTCCTGTTAACAAGTACTTTGTTTTTATTTGTGTTCACAGTCCATTTCATAATTAGATCTTCTAGGTGACCTGACGCAATTTTGAAGCCTTTTTTGAGGCTTGTATTTCCAAATGTGCATTGTATAAAAGCAAAAACAGTCCAAGGTTGAACATTCTATGTTAACTTTGCTGAAAGCAGCTTTTAAGGGACTGAGTGAAGGTTGGTGAGACTCTAATTTTTTTCCCTTAGACCGCATTAAAGGTAAGCAGGTTTCTGTTTTTGTGGGTTTTTTGTATGTTTATTTATTTATTTATTTATTTTGCTAAATCTTAAAAATACTTCTGCTGTTCTTGGTTGTTTTCGTAAGACTTAACTGCATGAACCATGTATTTTTCTCCAAAATGCCACATTCATAAATCTGTGAAGGAGTAATGATAATTGCAAAAGTTGCTGTTAAGTAACCAAGCAGAAAACATTTTGTAATCTTAATTTGTTCAGACAATGAGACAATAGGCAGATGCTGTTTCCAAGCAGATGGCTTAAGAAGCCTCTGTGTGTCTCCCTTGTGTTTTTATAACCAGGTATCTGGAAGAGCAGAAGACAGAGAATGGAAAAGATAAGGAACAGAAACAAACCAATACTGATAAAGAGAAAGTTAAAGAAAAAGGGAGCTTTTCTGACACAGGCTTGGGTGATGGAAAAAATAAATCTGAGTCATTTGCTTCCAAAAGTGATACCGAGAAGTCTTTTCGGGGCAGCCAGTCTCCCAAAAGGTATAAGCTCCGAGATGACTTTGAGAAGAAGATGACTGACTTCCACAAGGAGGACATGGATGAGCAAGATAAGGACAAAACTAAAGGGAGGAAGGAATCTGAGTTTGATGATGAACCCAAATTTATGTCAAAAGTCATAGCAGGTGCAAACAAAAGCCAGGAAGAGGAGAAGTCAGGCAAATGGGAGGGTCTGGTGTATACCCCTCCGGGGAAGGACAAGCAGAGGAAAACAGAGGAGCTGGAGGAGGAGTCTTTCTCAGAGAGATCCAAAAAGGAGGATCGGGGAGGGACCAAGAGAACCGACAGTGGGCACAGGGGGTTTGTGCCTGAAAAGAATTTCCGAGTGACCGCTTACAAAGCAGTCCAGGAGAAAAGCTCATCGCCTCCCCCAAGAAAGACCTCTGAGAGCCGAGACAAGCTGGGAGCCAAAGGAGACTTTCCCTCGGGGAAGTCTTCCTTTTCCATTACTCGCGAAGCCCAGGTCAATGTCCGGATGGACTCTTTTGATGAGGACCTTGCACGGTGAGATGTACTCCTTGATCCTCAGGGCTTAAGTGTTGTCTCCTCATTTGTCCCTGAGGACAATTTCCTGCATTTCCCCCTCCCCCTCCTTGTTTCCACCTGTCTCTGGAATAGTGTGTGTCCCTGAGCCATGTGCTTAGGGGACAGGCTCACTGGGGTGGCAGGCGGTGCTTTCAGCCTCTGGTGGCTCGTTTCCTTGATGGTTGGGTTCCCTGCGCTGCTCTCCTGGTCTGTTCAACCCTGCAGCCCCCTCTCCCACCACTGTCCCTGTCCTGGTTTTTTTTGTGTATTCAGGATGTCATTTGCTTGTAAAGCCACCCAGGAGCAAGTACTGAATTCCTAGCCACCAGTCTGTGTCACTGGCCACCACCATCAAATAACATACCAGTTTTAGAGTTGGAAAAAATTGCTTGCTATCTACCATCCCTTCTCCCCAGACTTTAGGGGAAAGTGGCAAGGCCCAGACTGCCTGTCTGCTAGGTGCAGAGGCTCCAGCCCTGCTTCGTCATTATGTCACTTGCTGAATGATTATGGCTGGCTTGGTTCATTCATCTTCTGACGTGACCCCTTCATTTGCTATGTAGTGAGACCCCCAAAGCAGAATCACTCAGATTTAACACTTGACTCCTGTTGGAGATGCTCAGTGAAGAAAGGGAGAATAGATTTTGACTTCACTTTACCATGGTGTGTTGTGTGACGACTACTGTGAACTTTGGGAAAGAAAACAGTTTTGTGGGGAGACCTAAATGTCTTAAAAAGCAGTATGCTTTTGTGGTTTAAGTGTTCTTTCTCCATCTTTCTACATGGCCTCCCTGTGTTTCTTTTTCAGACCCAGTGGCTTATTGGCTCAGGAACGCAAACTCTCTCGGGATCTAGTCCATAGCAACAAAAAGGAACAGGAATTTCGTTCCATTTTCCAGCACATACAGTCAGCTCAGTCACAGCGCAGCCCCTCTGAATTGTTTGCTCAGCATATCGTGACTATCGTTCACCACGTGAAAGGTAAGGCCGTACTCCGAATCTCCGATTGAGGCTTTTTGTGTTGTAAGCGGGGAGATGAGTGGGCCAGAGAGGGGACTCCTTTGCAAACCATCAAAGAACCTTTGAAGCTAGGAGTTGGCTGGGAGGAAATTCCCTTTGGAGCTAAACATTTTGAAATGCTGGTAACCTGTGATCATGACAGCAGATAAAATTCTTACATGAAGGTTTACAGTTCTTGCAAACTTGGGCGATAGGAAGGTGGCTCTTCCACCTTCCAGTCATCTCTTGCAGACCTGTGGATTTCTCATCAGCTTACTCATATCCCCTGGGCAAAAGCAAGTGGGCAGGTTGGGGAATGGCTAGTAAAAGCGATAATAGGATCACCAGGTCGGGCTGGTCACAGGTTCTTTCTGAAATTTTAAATTCTGTCTAGAACTGTTGCCTCCAAGGAAAGTAGGCCCCAGTTTTCTCTTGTTAATTCCAGCCAAAGGGGCTTGTGTCTGAAACCAGCCATTTTTGCTTCCTCTTCTCTGTGTGTTGTATGCATTTGATGACCTAGTACTATTTCTGTGGCTGTACAAAAGGTGAATATTATGTCTGCCCTTAGTAGCGTAACCTATGTCTTTTAATTCCAACAGAGCATCACTTTGGGTCCTCCGGAATGACATTGCATGAACGCTTTACTAAATACCTAAAGAGGGGGACTGAGCAGGAGGCTGCTAAGAACAAGAAAAGCCCAGAGATTCACAGGTGAGGACCTTAGCCTCGCACTGGAGTTTGTGGTGAAAAATGTCTTATCAAATACTAAACTCATTTTGTGAAAATCTGTGACAAGGAGCCAGTGCCGTGATATGGTAGGCTAAACCTGAGGAGCTGACATCCCATATGACTGCTGGTTCATGTCCCAGCTTCTCTGCTTCCCACCCAGCTCCCTGCCTTTGATCTGGGAAAGCAGCGGAGGACAGCCCAAAGCCTTGGGACCCTGAACCAGCATGGGAGACCTAGAGGAGACTCCTGGCCCCAGATTGGCACAGCTCCAGCTCTTGTGGCCACTTGGAGAGTGTACCACTGTGTGGAAGATCTGTCATTCTTTGTATTCCTGCCTTTTAAATAAACGTGAAATCTTTACACCATAATTCCCCCCCCCCCCCCCCAATGGTTCTATGGCTAATGCATCTTGAATGCTAAGTTTGGGTGTCCTTTAGGAGAGCTGTGGCATATGTGGTTGCAAATGGAAGGGAGATAGTCTCATTGTATGAATGAAGAAAATGGCTCTCTCCAGCCAGGTGAACTCTGGCTGTAGTGGTAACACAGTTACTGTGGCCATCTGAAGGTTGGTTAGAGATTTTCTATCCTCTGGTTCACTCCCCAAATAGTTCCAGTTGCTGGAGATGGGCCAGGCCAAAGCCAGATGTGTAAAACTCCATCCAAGTATCCCGTATGGGTGGCACTGGCCAGGCTCTTGGACCATCTCTGCTTTCCTAAGTACATAATTAGGGAGCCTAGTCAGAAATGGAAAAGCTGGGACGTGACCCCACACCCAGATGGGATGTTAGTGTCACAGGCAGTGGTTTTACTCACTGTGCCACGATGCTGGCACTGTCTCCTAAAGTGTTTGTTTAGTTTCTCAAAATGCCCTTAACAGCTTGGCTGGGCTGAAGCAAAGAGCTAAGAATTCCATTTGGGTCTCCCCAACAAGAGTGACGTGAGCCACTTTGTGCTACCTCCCAGGATGTGCCTCAGCAGGAAATTGGGTCAGAAGACAATAAGAGAATAACAGGGACACAAACCAGACACTAAGATGGGATGTGGATGTCCCAGCAACTTTGCCACTACACCACATGCTGACCTTGATTTTTTTCCCCCTTATTACCATTCAAAGAGGATTGAAACTTTTTTCTTAACATTTATTTATTTTTATTGGAAGATTTATTGAAAAAAGGATCTTCCATCCATCGGTTCATTCCCAAAGTAGCTGCAGTGGCCAGAGCTGAGCCAATCAGGAGCTTCTTCCGGGTCTCCCACACGGGTGCAGGGTCCCAAGGCTTTGAGCCATCCTCCACTGCTTTTCCTGGCCACAGGTAGGGAGCTGAATGGGAAGTGGAGCAGCTGGGACATGAACTGATACCCATATCGGATCCTGGCACATGCAAGATGAGGACCGGGCCCCCACTTCAATTGTAATGTCTTAAAATTTGTTGCTTTGTTGTGTTTTTGTCTGAAGACAAAGTTTGGCTTTTTCCCTGAATCTTTACTGTCATTCCCTGAATCTGTTGTGCTAGGTAGGAGGACCAGGTTTGTACAGGTGGCCTTGGATTTAGGATCTGGTGGGGTGTGTTTTCCCTAATTCTAATCTTACATTAGAGTAATACATAGACTAAGATTCTCAGGAAGTTCTGTTTGAACTTGGGGAAATAAGACTGTTGGTGAGGGAACAAGAAAATTGCTAAGTTTGGGAATGTAGGGGTTTGCTTATTTTGAAGATGCTTTTATTTGGAAGGCACTGCTAGAGGGGGAGAGAGATCTTCTGTCTGCTAATTGAGATGGAAGTAATAAATAACCTTAACGGCTAGAGCTGGATTAGGCGAGAGCCAGAAACTTTACCCAGGTCTCCCCATGATTACAGGGGCCTGAGCACTTGGGCCATCTCCTGCTGCTTTCCCAGGCACATCAGCAGGGAGCTGGAAGGCAAGTGGCACAGCTGAGATTCAAGACAGTGCCCATAAGGGATACTGATGTTGCAGATGGCGGCTTAAACACAGTGCTGGTCCTGGAACATAGGGTTTTATTTGTGTCTTTTTGGAGAATGAGAAGAAGCACGTGGATGCCCCTGCTAGCTGGGCTGAGGTTAAAGCTGGGAGCAGGGTGGCTGTCAATCTGTGCCTCCTGCAAGGCTAGCAGGAAACGGGAGGAGGCAGCAGCTGATGCTCAGTTAGCCTTAGTTCTTCAGATGGGATACAGGGGCCTCAGTTGGTGACTCAGCTGTTAGATTGGACATCTGCCGTTGGGCCTTGGGCTTTTATGAATCTGTACGTCTGCCTATGGGACAGGGTGTTTGAAGACTAATGTGGGGGGGACGAAATACCTGTCTGTCAACTTTAGTACTAAGAATATTACCAGTACTATTTTCATATGTAATCTAACAGGTTTTTTGTGTCTTCCATTTTAGGAGGATAGATATTTCCCCCAGTACATTCAGGAAACATGGTTTGGCTCATGACGAAATGAAAAGTCCTCGGGAACCAGGCTACAAGGTGAACTGTTGCTTTGATCAGTAATTCCAACAAAATGAGTGCGTTGGGCATGAACTTGACAGAAATGTGTTTGTTTAAATTACTCTCTACTTAAGTTTGTGTTTTTCTTTTAAGGATGGGCATAATTCTAAAAATGAACTACAAAGGGTTAATTTTTATTAAATGTATCAACAACCTTTGTGAAGTGGTTAGAATATGGTAAATGACCCCAAAGTCTATTGAGGTGAGCTTGAGAAAAAAAAAAGAGAGGAGTTTTGGAACAAGTGCCCATGATGAGAGAAGAAACTTTTTGTGATATTTTTCTGCTTGTAAGTATTATCAAATCAACTGTATACATGCACTATTTGCAACCATGATTTCAGAAAGACATGCATGTCAGAGGAGAGTGAAATATTCATAGCTTAACTTAGACTGTTTATACACAACTGGTCCAGTTGGTTTTTTTTTTTTCCCCTAACATTGTACCATATCTGTCATCTGTTGGTTACTATTACTTTAAAGCTAAACATTACCTTAGTTGCCCAGCCGTAGTTGCAATAATGTGCACATAAGCACTGTTGAGATTAAAGCTTGAATGCAGTCCTCTATGAAGTAACTAAATTGGGTTTTTAAAAATCGTACTTATTGACCTTCATTCACATAATACAGTTGAAATTAGTGATGGCTGTCTTGTGCTAATAAGACCTTTTCTGAAAATACTATTTCAAGTTTTCTTAAACAAATTTGTCCTGCTGGTTGATGCAAGGCACTCTGGTGCAATCTCTCTGTCTCCCACCCCACTTCTTTCCAAGTAGCAGTCAGATTGGCACTAGCAAGTGCAACACCAGAGGAGATCTCGTCTTTCATGCCGGCTGCACTAGAGGTTTTGTCCACCTGCTTTTTTTGTCTTGGTCCTTAAAGGGATGCTCGGGCCCCATTCTTTCTCAGAAGCAGATGAAAGGATAAAATGATAAACCTTATTTCCGCAACAAAGTGTAATGGTTCCTGTAAGGGTAATGTAGATACGGAGTGAACTGTTCATTTCTTCCTCGCAAGGGTTCATTTCTGCAAGACAAATCCTAGTGTGGAGGCTCTCACCTGCTCTTGGGTCTCCTTGAGTTTCCCAGGAATCGTTGAAAGCCACTGCTGGGATGTGGGATGTTCTGGGCTCAGGTGCTGCATTCATGCTCCCTGCAGCATGAACCTGAGGTTTCTGTACTTGCTGTAGAGTTAGTGGGAATACAACAAAACCAAACCACTTTAATTTGATATTGCCACTTTATAAATGTTCTATGTTGCTATAGTATAAGTAGGAGAAAGTGGACACTTGTAAATTCTGGTGGTTACTCAGCCCCAAACCTTCTCTGTGCTGGCTTTCTCTACACGAGCCAGAGTCGTCACTGGACAACAGGATTAGCAGGATCAGCAGGTAGCCTTTTCAGAGAGATAACTATCTTCATTATTTTAGAGAACGGGGCTGGGGCTGTGTGAAGAATCCTCACATGGCAACTTGTGGGACGTGCTGCTGCATCCCTCCCAGATGTGGCTGGCCTGCCGCACATTGCGGTGCTTTTCTACCCATTGGAGTAGAAACCACAGTTTATGGGTGGTTGAGTTGGCAGTCCTAAACCCCCAAAACCTTAATTTTGACTTCTCTTTTTGACAGGCTGAGGGAAAATACAAGGATGATCCTGTGGATCTCCGCCTTGATATTGAACGTCGTAAAAAACATAAGGAGAGAGATCTTAAACGAGGTAAATCAAGAGAATCAGTGGATTCCCGAGACTCAAGCCATTCAAGAGAGAGGTCAGCAGAGAAAACAGAGAAAACCCACAAAGGATCAAAGAAGCAGAAGTAAGTTAAGCCCTGGAGCAGTCTTTCCTGCCCCTTTGGGTGCACATTAGACATTTCACATCCGAAAACTTTGGGCTTGGAAGTGCAGCAACGTGTGTAGTTTCTTATACCCCGACTCTGAAGTCTGTTCCCTAATTTAAATTATCAAAGTGTGATCCTTGTTCAAAGAAGGCTTTTGGGAGAGGTTAATCTATTAACCTGAGTACAGAGATAATATGAATGCTTTAGATGTGTTCGTTCTCGTGGCAGATCTTGATGAGGACGTTGTATTTTAGAAATAGCTCACAATCATTGTCAAGTAATAACACTGTTTGGTCGGGGAAACAGGGTGGGACTAGATAGGAAAGATGGCCGATCTTAAATGCCTCTTAAATTAGTTTCACTGACACTGCTGAGATGTTCCAAGTATTCCTTCCACAAAGGTGGCATTGTTGCGTTTGTAGGGCGGCACTCATGCCAAGGTCCTCAGGTTTTCTGTTTACGGTTGGAAGTGCTTAGGTTTTCAGTCACATGTCTGTCCTTCAGAGTAGCAGCAGCAAAACCCCAAACCTCATAAGCAGCAGTACTTCCGCTCGCAGCTTGCAGCCATTGAACGTGTTCTTTCCCATTTTCTTGTAACAGCCCTTGGAAATAAATTGATCAGTTGGAGTGTTGCCTATTTGAAAGGCAAAGAAGCTAAAGTCAGTTGTCTGAGATCACCTAACTATCAGCTAACACCAAACTTCAGCTCTGTTCCTCCATTTTTTTTTTAAAGATTTATTTTTATTGGAAAGGCAGATGTACAGAAAGGAAGATCTTCCATCCGATGACTTACTCCCCAAGTGGCCGCATCGGCCGGTGCTGCGCTGAGCCAAAGCCAGGAGCTAGGAGCTTCTTTCCAGGTCTCCCATGCAGGTGCAGGGTCCCAATGTTCTGGACCATCCTCGACTGCTTTGCCAGGCCACAAGCAGGGAGCCAGATGGGAAGTGGAGCTTCTGGGATTAGAACCAGTACCCACACGGGTTCCTGGGGCGTTCAAGGCGAGGACCTTATCCACTATGCTATCGCCCTGGGCCCGGCTCTGTCCCTCTTGGGCTCACATTCCCGTTATTTAGGCATTGGAAGTGCTGCCAGCTTCCAGGACTGCCTAGAGGTAAAAGGCCAGGTAATCCTCAGCAGGGAGTGACAGTGGAAGATGGCAGGCCTTGAGAGCTGCCCGGTGTCAGGGCAGTGCCCCACAGGCATTACAAGTTGAGTGGATGGCTAAATTCCTCAATTCCTCTCCCTGGAATACGAGCATATGTGCCTTTAATTGGGAGTTTTAGTGATTTGGGCAAAGGAAATGGCTTATTAATGGTTATCATTAATATGTCACCCTGTGGTTTTAAAAAAACTTTATTGTGGGCCTGGTGCGATAGCGTGGTGGTTAAAGTCTTTGCCTTGCACACCCGAGATCCCATATGGGCGCCGGTTCTAATCTTGACAGCCCCACTTCCAATCCAGCTCCCTGCTTGTGGCCTGGGAAAGCAGTTGAGGACGGCCCAAAGCTCTGGGACCCTTTGCCCCTGTGGGAGACCCGGAAGAAACTCCTGGATCCTGGCTTCGGATTGGTTCAGCTCCAGCTGTTGCTGCCGCTTGAGTAGTGAACCATCGGATGGAAGATCTTCCTCTCTGCCTCTCTTTCTCTCTGTATATCTTTCCAATAAAAATAAATTAATTAAAAAAAAAAACTTTATTCTGTAAGTGAAGAGTGACTGCCAGGTCACACAGCTCATGGGACACAGAGCTGGGATTCAGACTTGAGGCTTCTCAGAGCCTTTGTTTTGAAGACCTTTGGAAGTAACACTGATTTTTTTTTAGTGGGGTCAGAGAGAGTTCTAATATTTTTTTAAAATCTTTATTTTTGTCCACTTGAAAGGTGTGTGAGGGGGAAGGTTTTCCTGCGGGGTCACTCCCCTGTTTGCCAGGACCCCAGAACCCCGTGGGTGGCAGGGGCCCAAGCATCTTTTGTCTCCCAGGATGTATTAGCAGAAAGCTGGATCAGAAGGAGAGCAAGCAGGATCCCAGCTGTGCTGTTACTAGGTATGGGTGTCCCAAAGTGGCAGCTTAACCCACAGTGCCACAAGGTCCGCCTGACAGTTACACATTGTAAGAATCCTGTGACAATAACTTGGGTGTGTGTTTGTTTTTTGGTGAGCTAGTGCTAGGAAGAGCCAGTGGGGGAAATAGGCTGTGTTCTATAAAGGATAGCGGGTAAGGAAGGGGTGGTTAGTGACAGGGTACTGACACTTGGCTGGCTTCTCGTGGCAGGGCTGGCACCAACCTGTAGTATACAGACAGTGACTCATCATATTAAGCTTATTTGCTCTAGTCTGTAATTTCCCCCCAGATGAAGGGAAGGCAAGAGAAATCACTGTGGGAAGAGTTCCACCAGATCCCAGCTCAGTGACACGACCTGTTTGAGCTTACTGGGAGGGGGGGATGTGGAGCCGTGGTATAATTAGAGCTGGATTTGAAATCCAGCTTGTGCTCAGGTCTGTCACCTGAGTCTCCCCCAGCAATGACAGGAGAGGAATGGTTGTTCGTAATTATAGTGCTATGTACTGCGTGCCTGCTATGTCAGTGTCAAGCGTTAAATGCATTATTAATCTTTTGAGCAGCCCTCTAAGAAAGGTAATACCCCACGAGAACCAGAAAGTATAACATAAAGCATCCATCTGCTAGGGCTGCCTACAGCTCGGGCCCACTGGATACATTTCAAAGGTTTATCTTAAAGGGAGAGAGAGAGAGAGACCGAAATTTTGCATCTACTGGTTCACTCCCCAAATGGCCACTAGAGTCAGGTCTGTCCCACAGGAGTGGCAGGGACTCAAGAACTGGACCAGCTCATAGGACTTTTCCAGGCTCCTCAATAGAGAGATGGGTTGAAAGTGGAACAGTTGGGTCTGGTGCAGTAGCCTAGTGGCTAAAGTCCTCACCTTGCACACGCCAGGATCCCAAATGGGTACCAGTTCATGTCCCACTGGCCCCGCTTCCCATCCAGCTCCCTGCTTGTGGCCAGGAAAAGCAGTCGAGGATGGCCCAAAGCCTTGGGACCCTGTACCCACATAGCAAATCTATTAAAAATAATAAAAACGGAGTGGAGCAGTCAGTGTCCAAACTGGCATTCTCCTATGGGATGCTGACATATCAGGTAGCGATGTAGCCTGTTGTGCTACAGCACTGGCACTGAACATAATTATTAGAATTGGAGAGGCTGGTTGATATAATAGGTAGGCTACTTGCCTGTGACTCTGGCATCCCCATACGGATACTGGTTCAAGTCCCAGTTGTTCAGTTTTGATCTAGCTGCTTGCTGATGTGTCTGGGATGATCCAATTACACCCACATAGAAAACTTGGAATAAGTTCCTGGCCTTGGCCTGGTCCAATTTCGGTCATTTTTGAATATTTGGGAAGTGAATTCAGTGGATAGAGGATCTCTACTCTGTGAAACCCCGCCTTTTAAATAAATCTCAAAATAACTGCAGAGAGGGCCTGGAGCATTAGCCTAGTAGCAAAATCTTCAACTTGGCATCTGCTGGGATATCCTATATGTTCACCAGGTCCTGTCCTGGCTGCTGCACTTCCTGTCTAGCTCCCTGCTTGTTGCCTGGGATAGCAGTGGGCGATGGCTCAAAGCCTTGGGACCCTAAGGAAGGCCCTGGCTTTGGATCAGCTCAGCTCCAGCCATTGTGGCCACTTGGGAAGTGAGTCAGTGGACAGAAGATCTCTCTATACCTCCTCTCTGTATATCTGCCTTTCCAATAAAAAAAAAAAGTCTCGAGTAGGGGGACTGGGTTGAGGTCCCTCCATCCCCTGAACGGGTAGGTTGAGGTGAGCTGTTTCAGGGTTATCCTGCCATTCGTTTATCGCAGACACACTCCGGTCCTGTGCTTTGTGTCTGCGACCCAGCAGGCAGCTTTTCCCTAGAGGTTTACCATTTGCCCTGCTTCTTTTCCTCCTAGGAAGCACAGGAGAACACGAGATCGGTCCAGATCCTCCTCCTCCTCCTCCCAGTCGTCTCATTCCTACAAAGCAGAGGAGTACACCGAGGAAACAGAGGAGAGAGAGGAAAGCACCACAGGCTTTGACAAGTCCAGGCTTGGGACCAAAGACTTTGTGGGGCCAAGTGAAAGAGGCGGCAGCCGCGCCCGGGGAGCCTTTGTAAGACCCTCCCCCTCTCCCTGTGCCTCTTGATTCTGCCAGGTCTAATTGTTTCATCAGAATGCCAGTTTTGTTACCTCTACTGTAAGTAATCTAGTTGATCGGCCCTCTTTCATTTTTAGTTATTTCTGTGTTCACAATCACTTAGCCAGAAAGCTGCTATGGCTTCTGTTCCCACTTAACTGCGGTCCTCCGGTTTTTAGTAAGACCCCTTGGGCTGCATTTATGTTCCATCTGAGCTGTGATTTGAGATGAACAGTGACTACAAACCAGCCGACAAGCTCATGGCTGGAGAGCAGTTGTTTGTCCTACGCTAGAAACGTGCTTGAATGGCACACCGGGGACTGTCTTGCCATTCCTGACATTGTCCTGTGTTGCTTTTCCCCGTTTATCGCTGCAGCCCTTCCGAGCCAGAGGGAGAGGTTGGGGCCGAGGCAACTACTCTGGTAACAATAACAACAGCAGCAACAACGATTTCCAAAAAAGAACCCGGGAGGAAGAGTGGGACCCGGAGTATACACCCAAAAGCAAGAAATATTACTTGGTATGTGCTGGGGGATAACCCGGAAGGTCTAGAGGGTCTCAGGCACTAATGGAGCTGAAGCCCAGGCCTTGATTGATCAAAACTGATCATTTTAAAAATTAGATGTGTGTGGGAGAGGTACAGAGAGAGATCTTGCTTCCATTGGTTCACTCCCCAAATGGCCACAGTAGCCAGTACTGGGGCAGCTGAAGCCAGGAGCTTCATCCAGGTCGCACGTAGGTTCAGGGCACCAAACACTTGGGTCGGTCTCAGCTGCCTTCCCAGGCACATTAGCAGGGAACTGTCGGAGGCGCAGCAGCCAACATGAACTGGACCCCATGTGGGATTTAGCCCACTGCACCACAGCACTGGCCCATGATCGTGTGTAGACACTGCGCTGGGATGTGTGTGCTTGTTTGGACCGGGCTGGAATCCCTGCCATGCATCCTGAGTGCTCCCCGGCTCAGCTGCCTGACAAGACCCCAGTTCACACATACCTCCTCTCAGAGGTGTTCCCTCATTTGCATAGTGGGTGGTGTCAGATTCAGGTGGAGGGGAGGGAGGATTCAATGAGATGATGTTTTAGTACTAGGTGAAAGTTTTCTCTTTCTGTATACTGCTCCAGTAAGCCCAGGGGTTTGAGGCAGTGGGTTTTTTGGAGTAGACCAGCAGCAGTGAGGACAGAAGGAGAAGGCTGGGTTTGAGAGCAGGGTCCTCTGGGAAAGACCCATTCAGGTGGCCACGGAGCAGAGAGCCCTTGCACTAATGCCAATCTTGTTTCTTCAGCACGATGACCGGGAAGGTGAAGGCAGTGACAAATGGGTGAGCCGGGGCCGGGGCCGAGGAGCCTTTCCCCGGGGTCGGGGCCGGTTCATGTTCCGGAAATCCAGTACCAGCCCCAAATGGGCCCACGACAAATTCAGTGGGGAGGAAGGGGAAATTGAAGACGACGAAAGTGGGACAGAGAACCGAGAGGAGAAGGACAATTTACAGCCCGCGGCTGAGTAGGGGCCGCTGCGGAAGAGAGCCCTCATCCAGGGGAGAGGCCCGCCAGGAGGACGCTGGGGAGGAGCTGCGCAGGAGCCTCTAGAAGATCCTAAACAATCTCGCCGCCACCCGCTGCTGGCCACGCTGAAGCCTGCTGTGGAGGAGAGCATCCATGATGCTGTGTCCCCCTGGACGGAAGGGGCTGGCCACAGCCTGGGCCCAGACCACCACCACTTGGGCCGGGGCAGGGTTCCTCATTTGCTGTGGGGGTGTGGGGGAGGGGCTGGGGGAGGGAGGGAAAGCAATGCTTGGATTTTGGTTTGTTCCCTATTAGAAACCGACAGTTTTGTTCTTCATTTCATTTGAAGCTCGAAGGACTAATTTGATTCTCTTTCTCTTTTTTTTCCCCCATCCTAATTTCAAGAGCCCTTTTCTTTTTAGGCATATGTAGTCATAGCAGAGAGATTTAATTTGGGCAACTTTGATTCTTAAAAAAAAAAAAAAAGCATGTGAATAAACATTGAAGTGTTCGCCTCAGTTTGGGACCAAACTGCTTGGATCTTTCTAAAAACCGGTTTTGTATGTCAAGGAGGAGTTAAGGCCTTTCCGACCACCTAGTGTTCCGCTTTCTGCACAGCCATGTTCACGGAGTCGCTCCTGGCCACACCTGCACCTGCTTCTGAACTCTGATTTCTGGGCTGGGCTTCCTGTTCCCCACCAGCAGCTCCAGTTCCCAAACTTTCTAGTCCTGCTGATCGTCTCGGCAACGGTGGAAACTGGAGGGCAGTTTCTGGTCTGTTTTCTAAGAAACTTCTGAATTATCTTTACAAATATGAGAAAATAATTTTTTCAATATTTTTAGTAATCTTTTTATAAAATGAAACTCCTATGCTCGATAAAGGAAGGTGGTTTGGCTGGGTGGTTCTTGGGGTTGTTTTGGTGTTTTTGTTTTGTTTTCTCTTTAACCTTAAGCTTTAAGTTGAAACATTCTCAGATATTTGGGGGGAGAACATCCTCTTAAAATGGGTCCTTGTGCTTGCCTTCTGGGGAGGCGGTCCTGAGCAGGTGAACCATACGGCATTCCTGCATATGATGTATGCGGACTGCACCACCCCTTCCCCGCCTTTGCCTCCTGGGTTGTTCAGCTACTTTTCCCTTTTCTTTGCTCCATTTCTATATAGTTAAGTTGGTTGTACTTGGATGATTCATGTTGGGGGGGGATGAAAAATACTCTTGGATAATTTGTTTCAACTCCTCCTGCAAATAAAAACAATAAAATGAAGTGGCAGATGTGACTGGCCCGTGTTCATTGTTTCCCGGAGAATGAGTGTGGTGTGTGTGGGTGGGGGTGCCTCCCACAGCAGTTTCAGGACACGGAAGATAAGGCCAGGAGCTTCCCCCTCCCCCACCACCTTACACTTACTGCACGGCTGTCCCTGGGAGGGGGCTACAGCCATCCCCTCTCCCAGCGGTGACTCCACTCCCTCCCCCATGGTTTGGCTTCATCTTGTACCTTTGGTAACACAGGATAGATTTTTGCGCTGGGGGGTCAGGAGCAACGACTTTGGCTTGCTGTGTTGGGGCAGGGGTCAAGGGTGGTAGTGAAACGGTTTAGCCTTTTGTGTTCACCGGGCAGGAAGATCACCTAGCCACATGGGACCAGTTCTAGGTGAACCCCAACTTTCGACTTGCAGGCTCCACAAGGCAAATACAAGCTTGTCAAGTTCTTCCTGCCAACACCCCCTCTCCCCTCCCAAGGACAAGCTGGAGGTGTTTTCTGAAACCAGATTAAGCCTTTTGGAGCCCAAAGCAGGGGTTCTTCTCTTTCCTCTGCGTGACGGTTGGGGTGCAGGGATCAGGCAGGGGAGAGCTAGCTACCCTGAGGTTTAGGCTGCCACTGGGGAAGTTTCTGGAGATCCAAGCAGGCACCACCTCCATAGGAGGCCCAGGCTCAGAGCAGTTATTGCCTGCTGGGAGCCCCACCCAGGTATGTGCCTTTCCTCCACCTCTTCCCCTCCGGCCAGAAACTTAAGCCAGGAGAGTGGGCCAGGGAAGGCGCCCTCAGTAGTGGGTGGGAGCCTTGGGGCCGAGGAGGGGAAGCAGTTAGGTGAGAATTCAGGTGAACTGGGATCCCAGCACCGGCCAGGGGCCCCTGCAGCCCTCCTCGCCGCGGGTCAGGGCCCTAACTTGAGTTGGCTGTCCGTTCCCAGTACCTGGAGCCCGACCTGTCGGTTCGCTCTCCACCTCCTGGTCCTCAGTGTCGCAGCCCAACCCACCTTCTCTTGGGCCCAGTCTTCAGCCACCTGTGGGACCCCCGGAAGCCATGGGTATGTGTACCAAATCTTGGAGGGGGGTGTTTTGCGCAGCCCTGTGGGAACCGTGTGGAAGCTACGCAGGTTCGTGCCACCACCCCACTCCCGCTGTCTTCACGGAGCCCGGGACGTGGCCGCCCTAGTCCTGAGCCGCGCCGTGCCCGATCGTCCACCTGCAGAGGTCCTGGTTCTGGCCGGCTACCGCGCGCAGAAGGAGGGCGAGTTGAGTCTGGCACCCGGGGATGTGGTCCGGCAGGTGCGAGAGGGACTCACACGGGGCTGGCTACTCGGAGAGCTGGGTGGCCTTTGCGGCATCTTCCCTAAGCATCTGGTACAGGTGAGACTGGGACTGGAATGGACTGAGGAGGTGGGGGGTCGGGGGGGGGTGGGATCCCCGCACGGGCCGCCTGGGAACTGAGCGCCCCCTTCCGGGGCTCTCAATCCCAGGAGATTCCAGAAACTCTGCGAGGCGAAGGGGAAGCACCGAGACCGCGCTGTGCGCGCCGCCGAGGTGAGCGCCTGGGCCGCCGACGGGCACGCCCGTGGGAGGGGCCGTGAGGCCGTTCGGCGGTCTGTGATTGGCTCTCGCGTACAATGCTCCGCCCTGGGGCGGGGCCCGGCGGCGCTCCGCCCGACGCTCGCGGCCAGCCCTCCCTCAGCCTAGCGGACAGGGGCCAGCTCAAGCCGCTTCTCTCTCCGTATGATCCAGATCACCCCGCCAAACCTCCGGGCCTCCAAAGATGGTGCAAAGTGAACTTCAGTTACAGCCCGGAGCAGGCGGACGAACTGACGCTGGAAACCGGGGAGATTGTGGAAATGATAAAGGAGGTGACAGACGAAGTGGTTGGGAGGGGTGAGCGGTGGGTTTCGGGAGACGCTGGGGTGTCTCTCCCGAGGGAGGGCGGAGGGTGGGGGCCGTGGGAAGGGCGAGTGGCAGAGACTGAAGGAGCAGGGGAGGAGGGGGCCTGCGGGCTGAGCCGAGGGGGCGAGGAGCCCACAGACCCCTGGGGCAGAACCAGAAGCCCCTGCGTCCTCCCCCTCCCCAGATTGAGGACGGCTGGTGGCTGGGGAAGAAGAATGGGCAGCTGGGAGCCTTCCCGTCCAACTTTGTGGAGTTGCTGGACAGTGGGTCCCCAAGTGAGACCTCGACTTTGAGACCCTGACTGCCCCCTGGGAGCAGACTCTCCGAGGACCCTCCCCCCACCCCCTGCCCCCCGCTGGCATGAGCCTGGGATTCACGCCTCCTGTCCCTGTGACCCCTCCTGGCCCTCTCCCATGACCTAAGCCTGGGTGTGAATGGGGACCCCCCTAACCTCACTGTCCTCCCTCAGGCCTTGGAAACTCAGACATCGGCACCTGTGCCCAGCGGCCTCCCAAGGTAAGGTGGGTCAGAGTGGTGGGCACAGAAGCAGCGAGTCCCTCCTGAGCTGGGTAGAGGCTCATCGTGTCCCCCGCCCCGTCCCCACGTAGCTGAGCAGCCTGGCCTATGACAGCCCTCCGGACTACCTGCGGACAGGTGAGCACCCAGGCGGGAGCCCTTCCCACCCCGAGGCTGGCCTCATGGAGGCGGGAGGTGCCTGGCGGACGGGGAGGGCTGACTTCAGGAGACTAACGCCCCCTCAGTCTCCCACCCTGAGACCTACAGGGTCCTGTTTGACTACCAGCCTGAGGCCCCCGACGAGCTGGCGCTGCGGAGAGGGGACGAGGTCAAAGTCCTGAGGAAGGTGTGAGGGGCCGCGGGGTGGAGGAGGGATGGCCAGGAAAGCGGGGGGGGGGGGGCCTGGGGGGGGGTCTCATTCCCAACCTCCCTGCCCCACAGACCACAGAGGATAAGGGATGGTGGCTCGGGGAGTGCCAAGGCAGAAGAGGCGTATTCCCAGATAACTTTGTGCTCCCACCGCCCCCCGTGAGTACCGACTGACTGTGGGGCCTCCCTGCCCCCCACCCCCATCGCCCTGGGGGAGGGGGAGCTGGACCGGGGTTCTGAATGTCGTTGTCTGTCTAGGTCAAGAAGCTGGGTCCACGCCGAGTGGTGTCTCGGGAATCAGGTGGGTGTTAGGGCGGCCTGAGATTGAGGGGGACCATCTGGGGTCTGATGCTTACTAGCGGTGCTCTAGTGCATCCCCAGGGGGCTCCCTCCCAGGATTGTGTGTGAGTCTGCTGTGGGTCTGTGTGTGTGTGTGTGTGTGTGTGTGTGTGTGTGTGTGTGTGTGTGTATGTGTGAAGGTGTGAGTGTTTCAGACCAGTGGTCAGCAAGTACGAATTTGTTTCATTTAGTAAGGACCCGTGTGGATCAGGGCTATCTCACCCTCTGCCTTCAGTGGATCTGAAAGTCATCCTATTGCCTTCCATGTTCCTCATTCCTTTGGTATTACCAGATTTCATTATTTTAACGAAAATTTATCTGTTATTTATTGGAGAGGCAGGGTCACAGAGAGAGAGGAGGACAGAGAAAGAGATCTTCCATCCACTGGTTCACTCAACAAATGACCACAAGAGCCAGGGCTGGGTCAGGCTGAAACCACAAACCTGGAGCTTCTTCCAGTCTCCCACCTGGATGTAGGGGCTCAAGCACTTGGACCAGGCATATTAGCAGGGAGCTGAACTGGAAGTGGAGTGGCCAGGACTCAAATTGGCACCCAAATGGGATGCGAGAGCCGTAGGCAGAGGCTTAACCTGTTAAGCCAGAACATCAGCACCTGATTTCATTATTTTTTGGCTCTCAAAGAGACAAAGTACTTTGAACTTAATTTGTATTTCTCCATGTCTAATGCATTGTAGGAGATTTCTGAGAGTTCCTTGAGAACACATATTGTGTCAAAACTATGGAAATGCAATATAAAGTCTCCTTGTTTCCTGAATACCACTCTCTTTGGGTATACATGTTACCAATATTTTGTTTTTGTTTCATTTTTTAAAAACACTGTCCCATAAAGACAGGTGCTTTTTTAAAAAAAATGTTTATTTATTTATTTGAAAGAAGCATTAGTGAGAGGCAAAGAAATAGAGAAGATCTTCTACTCGCTGGTTTACTCTCCAAATGGCTGCCATGGCCAGGGCTGGGCCAGCCAGAGCCAAGAGGCAGAAATTCCATCTGGATTTTCCACGTGGGTTACAGGGCCCCAAGCACTTGGGCAGTCTTCCACTGTTTTTTCAGGGCCATTAGCAGGGAGCCGGAGCAGCAAGGACTTAATGGTGCTCAGATGGTGGCTTAACCCCCTTTGCCACAGCACTAGCTCCAAATGTTACCAGTGTTGGATCTCAGTTTGTGGCTTATTTATTTATTTATATTTATTTATTTTAAGATTTATTATTTTTTTAATGGAGAAGTCAGATATACAGAGAGGAGGAGAGACAGAGAGGAAGATCTTCCGTCAAATGGTTCACTCCCCAAGCAGCTGCAATGGCTGGAGAGGAGCGAATCTGAAGCCAGAAGCCCAGAGCTTCTTCCGGGTCTCCCATGCAGGTGCAGCATCCCAAGACTTTGGGCTGTCCTCAATTGCTTTCCCAGGCCATAAGGAGGGAGCTGGATGGAAGACAGAACTGCCAGGCACCCATATAGGATCCCAGTACATGCAAGGCAAGGATTTTAGCTGCTAAGCTACTGCACCAGGCCCTTTATTTTATATATTTATTTTTTTATGAGCAGAAGTTCTTAATTTTAGTGTAGTCAATCATTAGCATGGTGGCCTAGCAGCTAAAGTCCTCGCCTTGAGTGTGCTGGGATCCCATATGGGCGCTGGTTCCAATCCTGGTGGCCCCGCTTCCCATCCAGCTCTCTGCTTATAGCCTGGGAAAACAGTCAAGGATGATCCAAAGCCTTGAGACCCTGCACCCATGCGGGAGACCTGGAGGAAGTTCCTGGCTCCTGGCTTCAGATCAGCACAGCACCAGCCATTGTGGTCACTTGGGGAGTGAATCATCGGACAGAAGATCTTCCTTGCTGTCTTTCTTCCTCTCTGTATATATCTGACTTTGCAATGAAAATAAACAAATCTTTAAAAAGGAAATCCTTCCTGCTCCAAATTCAGTTTGGCTGTATTTAGCACTATTTAAGTAAGTGCTTTTATCAGAGTAGCATTGGTTTAAATGAATGTTTCAATTATATTTTCCATAAAAAATAAATTCCAACATTTTATTTTCTGCTTACAACTTTTTAAAAATTATTCATTTGAAAAAAAATTATTTATTTGTATTTGAAAGGTAGATTTACAGAGAGAGGAGAGAGGGAGAGAGGTCTTCCATCTGGTTGACTCCCCAGACAGCTGCAATGGTCTGCTCTACAGCCAGGAGCTTGGTGCTTCCTCTGCCTCGGTACTTGCCTTGGCACCATCCTCTGGGCTGTAGGGCAGAGAGGGCCTCCCCCACGGGTACAGAGGTGCAAGGACTTGGGCCATCTGCTGCTGCCTTCCCAGGCATATCCGCAGGGAGCTGGATTGCACGTGGAGTGACTAGGGCTTGAGCTGGCACCCATGTGGCATGCTGGCATCACAGGTGAAGGCTTAAACTCTGTGGACCGCAGGAGTCCAAGCATTGTACCATCCTCCACTTCCATTACCAGGGAACTGGGTCAGAAATGGAGCATCTAGAACTCAAAACTGGTGCTCATATGGGATATTGGTGTCACAAGTGGAGGATTAGCATGTTAGGCCACCATGCCAGCCCCTACTCTGCTGTTTAACCCATATATATCCTGTAAATTTTGTACATATCAGCCTTGGATTTTCCTCGAGCTTTTGAAGCAGTGCCATTTTTCACCTCTAGTAGTTTTATTTCTGTTGGCTTTTCCAGATCTGTGTATTCCTGCTGGCCCCTTAGTAGCATGTGCTTTCTTGATTCCTTCAGCTTTTTGGTGCAGAACCAGTCTACCTTTTCTACTGGACATCAGCAGTGTCTGTGTGGGGTGTGTGTCCTGGCCCCCACTGTTGGACACTTGCCTTCTCCTGAGCTTTGTGATCGGTGTGTGAGCTCACACTTGGTCATGGTCCGGGCGAGCCTTGTAAGCCTTGGCAGGAAGACTTCTCCCAGAGATTGCTGACTTCTGCCAGCAGACACAGGACACCCGTCACTCCAAGGAAGGGATGCACAGGGCGACAGGGCAACAGCGGTGACTGAGCTATGTGGGATGTGGGGTGGTAGCAGGCCAAAGGAGCTGAGCCTGGCACCCAAACTCTCTGTCCCAGGACCCAGGCTCAGTAGCCACAGCGCAGAGCTGGTCTCAGTTTTCCCTTTTTTGTGGTTGACCTTAGCAGTGAGTCCTCAGCTGGGTATGATTATCCTCTAGCAAAAAAGTCGACATTAATGGGGCCAGGTCTCCTGAGCAGCTGACATATGAAGTCACTCGGGGCTTCCAGCAACCCTCTACAAGGTGTATACTGTGGGTAGAGATGTTGGGACACAGAGGTTATTTGTCTCTCTCTCCACACAGTGGTGAGTGGAGCTGGGATTCAAAGTCCAGTGTCTGGCTATAGAGTGCAGGCCCTGAGCCCTAGCCATGGGATTGTGTGTGAGCCTGTGCAGAACTGTGCATGTGTGTGAAGTCAGCCCAGGTGCAGATGCTCAGCAGCTAGTGGTGCACCTGTGAATGTGTGGGTCCCTGTGACTGCCTCCAACGTGCACCCCACCATCCCCTAGGTGCAGCTTTCTTTGCTTGCTTACAGCTGACTATTGCTCTGCTCATTCTTCCTCAGGAACACCTAACACTCTTGCACCACAGTTTCCCAGTTGTGTGCCGTGTCTGTTTTCCCAGTACAATGTGAGCACATGGCGGCTGCTGTGGGAAGAACGGCCCATAAGGCAGGGTGGCTGCAGCCAAAGCCAGGTTGCAGGTCCTCCCAGCTCCTGGCACACACCAAGTTACTCAAACCTTAGAACATATGAAGGTAGCGGTGCCTCCTTCCAGAACACTTCATGCTGGTCACAGTGATGAGTCACTGGATTCAGGCAATATTTTGATGATGGAGCAGATGGGATCTGCCAAGGGTTGGTTTGGTTGGTTTGGGGAAGGAAAGGACATCAGGGGTGTCTCAGCTGTGTAAGCAAGTGGTGATGCTGGGAAAGAAGACTTGACAGAAAAGAGGCAGATCTTCCACCTGCTGGTTAGTTCCCCAAATAGTTGCAACTGGGCTGATGTGAAGCCAGGAACCAGGAGCCTCCTCTGGGTCTCCCATGTGAGTGCAGGGGCCCAAGGACATGGATCATCCTTTTCTGCTTTCCCAACCCTTAAGCAGGGAACTGGATTGGAAGAGGAGCAATGAGGACTTGAACTGATTGTCCGTGGGACAGGTGGAGATAAACCCACTACAGCATGGTTCTGATGAAGTAGATTTAAGGGGCAAGAGGATGGGCTGCAAGATACTAGTTTTGTATATCTCAAGTAGTGCAACACCACTTTGCTCTCCAAGTTCAGGAGGGCAAAGTGGGCAGAGATGAAAACGTAGGAATTGGGACAGTGCGATGGTTCAATTGGCTAATCCTCCACCTTGTAGCACCAGCATCCCCTATGAGTGCTGGTTCATGTCCCAGCTACTCTGCTTCCAATCCAACTCCCTGCTCATTACCTGGGAAAGCAGTGGAGGGTAACCCAAAGCCTTGGGACCTTTACCATGTGAGAAACACAGAAGAGGCTCCTGGCTTCGGATTGGCTCAGCTCCAACCATTGCGGCCACTTGGAGATTGAACCAGCAGATAGAAGATCTTTGCCTCTCCTTCTCTTTGTAAATCTGATCTGCCTTTCAAATAAAAATAAATCTCTAAAACAAAAGTATGGTGGGATATACAGCTGTCTCCTCAGTCTTCTCTGATAGCTGTGTACTGGGTATGTCTTTGGGGTGCTTCTGCAGTTCCCCTAGTCTGCCGGTGGTGGTCCATTCGCAGCTGACTGGCAGGTGGATGGATATGTAAGTGAATGCTTCACCCTTCTCTCCTCCCAGCTCCTATTAGGGAACCAAAGAAGTTGATGCCCAAGACATTCCTCCCTGTAGTCAAGAAGCCAGTGACCAGCCCCACTGGGCCCAACAAAATCAAGTAAGGAGTTGAGTGGGTGGGGACCAGGGGAAGGGTCTCAAGAAAGGCTTCCCCCCACTCCCAGCCTGATGGGGATGTGTTCCAGGACTCCCTGGTCACCGAACGGGGACAGCCAGAAGCGTACGTCCCGAGCGACTGGTAAGGGCCATCCTCTTCCAGCAGGGGAAGAGGCCGAGGAGAGGGATAGGGTGGTTGTGCCGACGGTGAGGGTGGGCCTGGGTCCCTAATGCTCTGCTTCTGCAGGGTCCAATGGCAGCTTCCTCAACGGGGCTTCTAGTAACCCTGGCAGGAAGCGAGCCAAAACCCAGCCTGCCCAGCAGCGCTCGGCATCCAGTCAGGTAAGGGGCTGGGGCAGGGGCCAAAGGGACTTATGGGGTATGGGCTGGTCCCTGAGGAGTGGGGTACAGAGCGGAATGAACCCAAGCCAAGGGGAACCAGACAAACTTTAATGATTCCTAAGCCCTCAGCTGAGAACTCGCCTCCTACCCACAGGAGGGGCAGCAGAGCCGGCTGGCAAAAGCTGCTGTTGGGAACAGGAGCCCCACGCTGGACAAGCCCACCAACCCAGGGAAGACCCCAGCTCCTGACAAATCCCCCAGCCCAGGGAAGACTCCTGTTCCTGACCAAGGCCCCAGCCCAGGAAAGACCCGTGCTTCTGACCAAGCCCCCAACCCAGACAAGACCTTGACTCAGGAGGACCAGGCCTGCAGCCCAGAGAAGACCCTGGCTCCTGACCAAGGCCCCAGCCCAGGGAAGACCTCTGTTCTTAACGAAGCCCCCGGCCCAGACAAGACAATGTTGGAGGACCAGGCCTGCAGCCCAGAGAGGACCCCTGCTCCTGACCAAGCCCCCAGCCCGGATAAAACCTTGATGCAGGAGGACCAGGCCTGCAGCCCAGGGAAGACCCCTGCTCCTGACCAAGCCCCCGGCCCGGATAAAACCTTGATGCAGGAGGACCAGGCCTGCAGCCCAGGGAAGACCCCTGCTCCTGACCAAGCCCCCGGCCCAGAGGAGACCCCAGCTCCTGACCAAGCCCCCAGCCCAGATAAAACCTTGATGCAGGAGGACCAGGCCTGCAGCCCAGGGAAGACCCTAAATCCTGACCAAGACTCTGGCCCAGATAAGACCTTGATGCAGGAGGACCAGGCCTGCAGCCCAGGGAAGACCCTAAATCCTGACCAAGACCCCGGCCCAGAGGAGACCCCAGCTCCTGAACAAGTCCCTACTGCAGGCCCAGAGGAGACCCTGGTTCCTGACCACACCTCTAACCCAGAGAAGACCAAAGCCCTGACTCAGGGAGAGTCAGGGCTAGAGAGAACCCCTGCTCCTGACCAAGCCCCCAGCCCAGACAAGACCTTGACTCAGGAGGACCAAACCCCTGGCCAACTGAAGACCCCGGATCCTAACCAAACCCTTGGCCTAGACACCCTCAGCCCAGAGAGGATCCTGGCTGCTGACCACGCCTCTATCCCAGAGAAGACCAAGACTCTGACTCAGGGAGACCAGGTCTCCATCCCACAGACACCTGGGACTCTGGGGAACCCCACCCCAGAAGATGCCCTAGTTCCTGAGACAGCCTTTTTGGCAGAGGAGGCACCTGCTTCCGAAATCCTTGCCAAAGAGCTGATGACCAGTCTGGAGGATGAGGGCCCCATCCCAGGCAGGGACTTGACCCTAAAGCAGGTGCTTTCCAAGGAGGTCATCTCCCAGGGAGACCACCCTCAGTTACATCACTTCTCTCCAGAGGAAGCCCTGCGGGGCAAGTCTATTGTGGCCAATGAGCCTGCCTCCCAAGATGGGGTCCGTGGGCCAGTGGAGCCCCCACCCCAGCCCCAGTCCTCAGAGGGTCCCTTGGAGTGCAGGGCTCACTCCCAGCCCCAGCCCCAGGCAAGGTCCATGCCTGCCCTGGTAGAGGTCACGACCTGGCCGGTGGAGGCCTTTGCAGAAGACAAGGCTGTCCTCAAGAAGACGCACCCCAAAGAGGAGCTACCTCCGGGAGAAGGGGCACCTCCCAAAGAGGTGGCTCCCAGGCAGCAGGACTACGAGGCAGCCCCTGGCCACGAGCTCCCATATTCTGCCAAGCTGACCCCAGATCCCCAAGAGACTCCTGCCGTCCCCTCCCCAAAGTCCGCGGAGGGTGGTCCTGACGGAAGCCACCTGCTGGCCCTCAGGCAGGAGGTGCAATCTCTACAGACTGCTCTGCAACAGATGGGGGCGCAGCTGGAGTGAGTGGGCAGGGCTGGGAGGGGCGGGGCCGGAGAGGGAAGGGGCCCGCCCCACACACGCCCTCACTTGGGTGCCGCATCCTTTGGCAGGAGGAAGATGACTGCCATCTGGGAGGAGCTGAGGAACGAGAGGGAGCAGCGGCGCTCGCTGGAGGTGGGTGGGGCGTGGGCATTGCAGGAGGGCGGGCGCTGGCCGCGGCTCCTCCCCTGACACCCTCTACCCAAACCAGGTTCAGATGCTGCAGAGGAGGGAGAAGTGCCCGGCTCGGGGCTCCAGACACGCGCAGACGCAGACACACTGAGGCCAGGGCTGGGCGGACGCACGGGCTGAACCGGAGCAGCGGCTGGCTCGGGCCACCCACATCCTTGCACACAACTTGGGGAGACGCGGAAAGTAAAGTGCCTTGTATGCGCCGTGCCTTGCCCTCTTGGTTCGTACGGGGGCGGGGCAGCTCCTTGCATTCCTGACAGCCTCTGGCAGGCACATCTGGCCAACATGTGGCTCCCATTACGGTTCCCAAGCCCCGCGCGCACTGCTATTTTTATCCACCGGATGGTAGCGGGCGGGGCTGGAGGAGAGGGTGGGTGTCTCCTTCGGACGCCGTCCCTGCGCTGCAGCCGGGGAGGACAAGGGGGGCCCAGGAAGGGTTTGATTCTGCGGGGGCCCAGGTTCTACTTTGTCCTGGGGTGGGGCGGAGGGGGCGGCTCCGCAGCCAGGGCTCCTCCCCAGGAGTCACTGTAGGCTCCTGAAACCCGGGTCCCACATGCGCTCCACTGCCCCAATTCGGGCACACAAGCCTACATAGGACAGAGCTGAGGGGGGAGAGTGCCTCAAGGCCGGAGACAGTGGGGACGAGGCAACGTGTGTCCGCCTAGAAGAAATGCATTAGGATGGCGCTTGCATGTGTGCGTGCATGTCCCTGGAGGGGCACTGCGTGGGTACAGGTGTGTGCGCTCCTGTTCCTGCCGGTGGGGAAGCGGACGCACACAGGTACAGAAGGGGGTGAGGGATCTGGCAAAGGGGCCCCAGAGGCACTGAGCCCGCCGGGCGCCCAGATAAGACAAGGCACACAGTCACCAAGAATGCAGCTTTCATTGTTCACTCCGTTTCTTCCCTCAGAGGGGCGGGGGGACCCCGCCTCCTGACCCCCGTTCCCCCTCCGCCCCGGGGCCTTTGGGCAGGGCCGAGGAAGGGCGCACTCGGAGGTAGGCAGTCCAAGCCCCTTAGCACCCAGGAAGCGTGGGAATCATGAGCGTCCAAAGTTCTTGGGGCAGCTTTGGGTGCCCCTGGAGTGTCCAGCACTCTGAGCGCCCGTCAGTAATAGTGCACACGGCCCAGCGTGCCCGTGCCCGCAGTGCTGGGCCCCAGCGTGCCGCTGCCCAGCAGGTCCGGCTGCCCCGTGCGCCAGATCTCACGCAGGATCCTCTCGCGCTCCTCCAGCCGCTGCGCGCGCTCCAGCTCCTCAGCCGATGTGAAGACGTTGACGCTGAGGGTCCCGTCGGGCTCCGGCGACAGCTCGGGGCCCTGCAGCGTATCGTCAGCGCCCAGCCGCGTGACCGTGTCTTCGTCCTCGTCTTCGTCCTCGTCGTCCTCGGGCTCCAGGGTGCTGCCGCGGGGGGCGCGGTGTGGCACGAGGCCCCGCGGGCGTGACCGGGGCGCACAGGAGATGCTGATGACCAGGAGGCAAAGGGTCAGCAGTAGGCCGAAGCACACTCCCAGCACGAAGTAGAGGCCAAAGCTCTCTGGGTTAGCTGGTTGGAGAGGGGGGACAGAGGGTAAAGGTCACAGAGGGCCCTGGTGGGAGTCAGGGGGCTAGGCTGTCACCTCTCTGAAAAGGATGACCAACCGGGAGCTGCAGCCGGGCAGGCGGGGCGGGGAGGTGGGAAGCTGAGGGCAGGCGAGGGGCGCGGGCTCACCGCGGATGTGCGCGTAGGCCGCCAGGCTGTTGCTGAGTAGCTCCATGTCCCTTCGGGGGGCGTCCATGCTGCTCCTGGGACAGCGTCCGCGTCAGCCTGCGAGTTCAGCAGCTCAGCTCCGGGCCGGTCCAGGCCTGCCGCCCCCTCGGGCTGCCCCTCTCCCCGGAGAGCCGGCTCCAGGTCCCACACGGAGAGCGTGGCTTCCCAACTTGGGCCCTGTCCGGGAGAATCCCTTTCCCAGGCCCGGGAAGCAGGGGGGCAGGCCGCAGGGGGCTCGGCGCGGGGGCGGACTTCCTCCCCCGGCCTCCCGGTCTCAGGAGCGTGGAGATGGAGGCCTCCGCTGCCCCCTGGGCGCGCTGGGGAGTGGGGAAGCTGCTTTCCTCGCTCGCCCCGCGGGGACGCGCCCGCCCCGAGGCCCGGCTCACTCACCGCCAGCAACCCGGGTGCCTGGCCCGGCGCGTCCGGCGGCCGCATACACCCCTGGGCCCGGCCGCGCCCGCCCCGTCCGGTCTCAGCTGCCCTGCCCGTCCGGCTCGGCTCCCAGGCTGCAGCAACGCGGGCCGGACTCAGGCTGAGGGACCAGTGGCGGAAAGTTTCTTCGGAGGAGAGGAGGGGCGGGGCGGGGAGGCGGAGGCAAGCGCCGCCGTGGAGGAAGGGGAGCAGAGCGGCCACCGCGAAGGGGAGCTGGCCAGCCGGCCGCTCCCCCAACAGGAAGCCGCGGGGGAGGCCCTGGCAGGGACCGCCCCCCTAGGCCCCCCGAAAGGCAGGGGGCAGTGATGGGGCCCGCGGGCCAGGTGCTAGGCTATGGGCTAAGCTACCCTCAAGTACCAGTGACACTATTTCCCGACTGGACTCAACAAGTCATGGGAAAACTGGACCACAGGGTCAGGACTTGAGTGTCTCCTCGCTCCCAACCCCTCTCCTGCTCTTTGCTCCTAAGTAGCTCCCTATCTCTAGCTTCCCTTCCCAGGCGGTTCCACCCACCCGTCCCCCAGCACCCTCAGCCAGGGCAGTCTGCCCCTCCTCCCCAGACCCTCAGCCCTTCCTCCTCCCTGGTCCAAGCCTGAGTGTGTCCAGCTGGCGGAGCTGCGGTCTGGTCACCGGGTTAATGATTGCTGAACTCGATGTGGATGTGGAGCCAGGCCTAGGCCAGTCTGGGGACCGCAGCGGGGAGCCTCTGGGTGTGCTCCTCGGCACGGAGCGGGCCTGGGCATACACGTGCAAGTCCACCTGAGCTCAGGGCTGGGGTCTGGCACTTGTAATCCGGTTAGAGTCTTCTTCCGGCCTCACTCCCAGCCCTCCCACCCCCCTTCCCTGGGCTGAGCTGGGGTGAGGGGGAGGCCTTCTTGGCGGGAGCCTTGGAGGAGGAGGAGGGAAAGAAGGGGGAGAGGAAATTGCAGACATAGCTGAAGGCGCTGCCTGAGGCCCGTGGGCCAGCGACCCCCTCCTTGCCCAGGCTGGAGATTACCCCTCCCCCCAACTCCTTCAGTCCTGGGCTTGGGTTCAAGTAGAGGGCAAATTTAGATGGGAAAAGACTAGGACCCCCTTGCCCTGGGATGTGGATGCTATGTGTGTTGTCAGCATGCACGTCTGTCTATCTGTGTCTGTGGTCTGTCTGCTAGAGGTTGGGGGTGGGGAGGGGTTGGGGACATCTGAATGTAAATCTGTGTGGCATCACACACTGAGTGCAGGTCCCTGGCACTTCGTAGGAGTGGGGACATCAGATTGACCAAGCAGACAAACAGCCCAGGTTGAAGGGATGGGGTGTGGGGGGAGGGTGCCAGAGAGTGTCCCTGGTGGGCAGGGGCTGAAGCACCTGGGACGGAGCCTGCTGGGATGTGGGGATGGCAGGAAGAGTGACAGGTGACTGTGCAGGGGCTTGTGGAACCCTGGGGAGCACAGGTTTAGCTGTAGAGGAGCAGGGTTTGGGGGTCTGGAGGGTTGCAAGCAAGTAAGCATCATGGTGCGGTGAAGCCCTTAGGGAGGGTCCAGGGGTTTGGTTCAGCCCAGGGTGGACCACAGGGCAACATGCAGGTGACATGAAACCTGGAGGGGCTGTGATGTGAGAAGCGGCAGATTTAGGCTGTTTTCTTTTTCTTTCTATTTTTTAAGATTTATTTATTTTGATTGGGAAGCCATATCTACAGAGAGGAGAGACAGAAAAAAAGATCTTCCCGGCTACTGGTTCATTCCCCAAGTGGCTGCAGCAGCCACAGCTGAGCTGATCAGGAGCCAGGAGCTTCTTCTAGGTCTCCCACACGGGAACAGGGTCCCAAGGCTTTGGGCCATCCTCGACTACTTTTCAGACCACTAGCAAGGAGTTGGATGGGAAGTGGAGCAGCCAGGACATGAACCAGCACTTACATGGGATCCTGCTTGCCTCTTTTCTTTTTCTTCTCAATCACCCTCCTTCCCTCCCTTCCTTCTTTCTTTTTTCTCTGTTTCTTGATTTGTGTATCTGTTTAAAAACCAGAGTCACAGAGAGAAGAGGAGGAGAGAGATCCATCTTCTATCCACTAGTTCACTCCCCAAATGGCCACAACAGCTGGAGCTAGGAGTCATCCAGATCTCCCACATTGATGTAGGGGCCCAAGCACTTGGGCCAACTTCTGCTGCTTTCCCAGGTGTGGTAGCAAAGAGCTGAATGAGAAGTAGGGAACTGGGACTCCAGGCAGAGCTCATATCAAATGCTGGCATTGCAAGCAACAGCTTTACATACTGTGCTGCAGCACTGGGTCCCAGGCCATTTTCCAAAGCAAGTTCCTGCATGGAACATGCAGGTGAGAGAGAAGGGCGTCCAGGGACCCGAGCACCTGTCAGGGGGCCTATGTGAGGCAGTTGTTTTGTGGGGAGTCAACAGCATTTCAGAGGTGTTGGATTTGAGGTTTCCTTTAGATACCCAGCTTATTGTAGGCAAAAGCAGGTGGAGGAGCCCCATGTTGTGGACTCAGCAGGTAAACTTGACAAGTGTGTCATCTGAGGCAAGGGAACAGGCAGAGAAGTCAGCGTGAGGCCAGAGACCCAGGCACCCACGCTGAGCAGGAAGGAAAAATCTGATTGGGGATAGAGCTGTGACCAGCTGTGCTACATGGGGCTGCGAGGTTACGGTGAGGACGGAACCCTACCCCTGGTTTGGCCGGTATTGGGGCCCTGTGTGGTTCAGGTGGGCTTCCTGGTGATGTCCTTTTTCTTGAGTGTGTGATGGACTGTGTGGCAGGTGGTGTGTGCTTAGGAGCATGAGCCTCAGAGTTTGGGACACACCCCTGTGTTCTGCAAGCGTCTGTGTTGCTGGGTCCTCCATGAATGTTCATGTGCAGGTCTTAAGAACATCTCTAGTCAAAGATGTGGCTGTCTGGGTCACCATGGATGCATAGGTGGCCAGGCTGGAGGAGGGTGAGGGCTGGGATGATTGCCTGCAGAGAGAGGGACCCACGGTATCCAGAGTACTACCTTCTCCAGGGATGTGTGTGGCCCTGGGAAGGAACCTGAAGACTTTGCCCAATGTAGCCATCCCTGTGGGTCTCCTGACCACCTGGCCCATCTTCTCTCCTACCAGCCTTTCACAGTGTACCACCTGTCTGTAGGTCTGCCCAGCACTTAGTTCTGTCCCTCTCTGCATGTCTGTCACGTGCCTGCCTGGCTCATGTGGGCACCAGGTGGAGTCCCAGACGTTCCACTTCCTATCCAGCTCCTTGCTAATGTGGCAGGGAAAGAAGCAGAGGATGGCTGAAGTCCTTGGGACTCTGCACCGATGTGGGAGACCTGGAAGAAGCTCTTGGCTCCCGGCTCTGGATCAGCTTAATATCTCCAGCTATTGTAGCCACTTGGGGAGTGAATTAGCGGATGGAAGATCTTCCTCTTCTCTCCTCTCTGTGAATCTGCCTTTTGAAAAAAAAAAAAAAAGAATGAAAATAAAAAATCTCCAAAGAAACACAGGATAGGTCCTAATGTGAAGTTGTGGGCTTAGGAACAGTCTTGGGGTGCTGGGACATTCAGGGTTTTGTGCAAAATAGGAGCAGAGCTTGGCTCTCTTCCTCGGTGGCCATGCTGAGGGCTGCCCTCTGTGGCCTCCTCACACTGGGCTCCTCGGGATGGGCCCAGCAAGAGGGAAGTGGGACTCAGTCAAAGCCTTTGGTCCTCTGTGTGCCCCACCTGCCCAGCACCCAGGGAAACTGGGGAGAGGGCACTGGTGAAGATGTGGCCTTGCCCAGCAGTCTTGGCTGTTGTGGTCATGGGGACCTACACACCAGAGCCTGGTTTTGATCCTCAGCACCCCCAGCGGTTTCCCACATGAATGTTCCAGGTTCCCTGTGGACCCAAAGCTGCCTCCTCTTTCGCCTAGGTTTCTTACTGCTTTTTATGCTCTCAAAATTCATGCCAATGTACCAACACATCCATATGAGAGATAAATGGTTTTGTCCTATGATCTATACAAAATAAAGGCAGGGCCTGGCACGGTAGCCTAGCGGTTAAAGTCCTCCCCTTGAACACGCCAGGATCCCATATGGGTGCTGTTTCTATTTATTTATTTATTTAATTTGTATTGCAAAATCAGACATACAGAAAGGAGGAGAGACAGAGAGGAAGATCTTCTGTCAGATGATTTACTCCCCAACTGACCGCATCAGCTGGTGCTTTGTCGATCCGAAGCCGGGAACTAGGAGCTCTTTCAGGTCTCCCACCTGGGTGTGGGGTCCCAAGGCTTTGGGCCGTCCTCGACTGCTTTCCCAAGCCACAAGCAGGGAGCTGGATGGGAAGTGGAGCTGCCGGGATTAGAACCAGCACCCATATGGGATCCCAGCGCATTCAAGGCAAGAACTTTAGCTGCTAGGCCATCACACTGGGATCTCTATTTTTTCTTTTTAAGATTTATTTACTTTTATTGCAAAGTCAGACATACAGAGAAGAGGAGAAACAGAAAGGAAGATCTTCCATCCGATGATTCACTCCCCAAGTGACTGCAATGGCCAGTGCTGCGCTGAGCTGAAACCAGGAGCCAGGAACTTCCTCCAGGTCTCCCACAAAGGTGCAGGGTCCCAAGGTTTTGAGCCGTTCTCCACTGCTTTCCCAGGCCACAAGCAGCGAGCTGGATGGGA